AGCATGGAGGGGAGTGGCAGAAGGAGAGGGGGAGAGAGAGAGAATCTCAAGCAGACTCCCCCCTGAGCACAGAGCCTGACAGAGGGCTCAGTCGCCCGAGACCATGAGATCATGAGATCATGACCTGAGCTGAAGCCAAGAGTCAGTCCCTTAACGACTGAGCTACTCAGGAGCCCCCCAAAGCTTAGATTTTAAAGACATGATACTGGGGTCAAAACCCCAGGTTTTGCCACCTCTTCACTCTGTCACCCCTTAGGCAAACCACTCAGCCCATGTATATCATCCTTTTCGGCCAGAAGTGGGACCAATAAAAATGGTACCTGCGTCATAGAGCTGTTGTGAGGACTCAATCCATAGATGAGCATAGAGGGCTTAACGTTGAATGTCAAGATATCTAACTTTCAGTTAGGGAGATGTTGGTTTCTCCCGGGCCTCCTTGTCCTCTGTGAGCTGTTCCTTCTGATGTCATCTGTGACCTCAGTGTCACACTTGTGATCTAACCCGTAGATTGGGTGCTTTCCTTTGATTGCCATCAGCTGTTTAGCTTTTTTTTTTTCTTTTTACACTCCCTGCATTTTCAGAATTGCATTTTAGATAAAGTCCATGTTAAGCCAAGAACTGAATTAAAACACAGTTCAAGAAATCATTTTCCCTGCACCTTTGCTTTAACGTTAAATACAACACGGAGGGCCAAAAGGATTTATTTTATTATAATAATTAATTACAGAATATTGTTTCAACAATGAAACAGTATTGTACATATCCCGTACAAGGATATGTACCTATCCCATTTATTTATTTAGTTAGTTTGTTCGTTTATATTTTACCAATAAACTGTTTATAATTTGATTTTAAGAATTCACAGTCCTATTTGACTGTTAGGCTGACTTGATAACTAGGATTTCATGTTTTTTTGGGGGGGGAGTTCTTTTTATTTAATCTTTTTATTTAAAGTCAATTTAATTAACATATACTGTATTATTAGTTTCAGAGGTAGAATTTAGTGATTCATCAGTTGCATATCATACCCAGTGCTCATTACATCAAGTGCCCTCCTTAATGCCCATCACTCAATTACCCCGTTCCCCTAATCCACCTCCCCCCCAGCAACCCTCAGTTTGTTTCCTATGGTTAAGAGTCTCCAATGGTTTGCCTCCCTCTCTATTTTCATCTTATTTTATTTTTCCTTCCCTTCCCCTGTGTTAATCTGTTTTGTTTCTTAAATTCCACATATGGATGAAATTGTATGATACTTGTCTTTCTCTGCTTGATTTGTTTTGCTCAGCACAATACCCTCTAGTTCCATCCACATCATTGCAAATGGCAAGATTTCACTTTTTTGATGGCTGAGTAGTATTCCATTGTATACATATACCACATCTTCTTTATCCATTCATCTGTGGATGGACACCTGGGCTCTTCCCATAGTTTGGCTATTGTGGACATGTACTTGTCCCTTTTAAATGCATTTTAAAATGACATTTGGCTACAGAGTTTTATGACATTTATCTGGGCTCCCAGGTGTGTCTGGTTTTCCACCATTTGATTTCTTAGCACATTTTAAGATGCTTAATATTTTTTTTTTTCTGACTGGTCTCTCTCCTTTGGAATGCTGACATGGATAACATATTTTCCAGTGGAAGGAGATAGCATTTGTCATCAGTGCTGAATCTGGGCTCTTATTTTTAATAAGATTTGAATATACGCAAAAATTCTTATTTTTTGAAAAGATTTTATTTATTTATTTGAGAGAGAGACAGAGGAGATAGCAACAAAGAACAGGAGCAGGGAGCCCAGTGGGGGACTCTGATCCCAGGACCCTGAGATCATGAACTGAGCCGAAGGCAGACACTGACTGAGCCACCCAGGTGCCCCGAATATATTCAAAATTTAATAAAATTTGAATATATATTTTAAAAGATTCACTAGAGCAGCTGGAGTCATGTTTGAGATGTGTGATTATTGAACTTGAACATGGCGACTTTAAAACTACCTCTTGCCCCAAGTGCTTGAACATTGGTCTGCCTCGGGCACAAACACACTTGGCAGGGTATGCCTGGCACAAACTATATACACAGTTTGTTCCCCCAACACTAAATCTGACTGGAGTTGGACATGCTGCATTTGTGCCTGCTACAGTGGGAAATAGCCCTTAGCATCGTGCTTGGATAGATCTTAGAGCTAATAATCAGGGTTTAGGGCATTTAAAAAAATACTGTTTCCACAGTTCCCAAGTGTGTGTGCACTAATCTTGAAGAAAAATCATCCTTTGAAACGCAAAATCAGGGGCGCCTGGGTGGCTCAGCTGTTAAGCGTCTGCCTTCGGCTCAGGTCATGATCCCAGGGTTCTGGGATCGAGCCCCACATCGGGCTCCCTGCTCAGCGGGAAGCCTGCTTCTCCGACTCTCCCACTCCCCCTGCTTGTGTTCCCTCTCTTGCTGTATCTCTCTCTGAGTCAAATAAATAAATAAAATATTTTAAAAAATGCAAAACCAATGATAATATTTTGACTTCCGAAATCCAACAACATCTTAAAAACTGCATCTTTTCTGCTGATATAACAGATACCGGTCTTTAGTTAGAAAACAGGCCATACAGAGGCCTTAATTTCAAATGAAGTATGTGGAATTGTACCTTGTCTTTAAGGTTTGGTGTTTAAATTGTATGATATAAACACTGAAATTATTTTTCTAGTCAATATTTTCTGCATTCCAGGTAGGATTATTTTTGATTAGTCACTTAATCTGTTATTTTTTAATGGTACAATAATCATTCAAACTCCTCTCTCCCCCAGAAAAGCTAAGACTTTGCCTACAACCCACATATCACCAGACGGTGCTACTGCCACCCCAATTCCTTGGTTCTTCTCACCCAAGACAATCACTGTCTTGGACTCTGTCTTCATCACCCAACACCCCCCCCCCAAACATAGATCTACAGTGTCCATATATATTTTTAAGAAGGGAATATTTTTATATTAATTATTTTTACCTTTTTAAAAGGTGTCATGCTAATAGCAATATTTTGGGATTCATATTTCCCCCCACCAAACATTGCTACCTACCAAATAGTAGTATGTAGCTAAGATTCGTCCAGATTGCTGCATTTCAATGTAGCTCACTTATTTTTGCTCTTACATAAAATATCAGTTTTCCTAGTCCTCTTCAAAATAAGCAGGGAGAAATCGCTCCCTTTCTAAGACCCTATCTACAATGCACTCAAACAATTTATTACAAAGTGAAACAGTATCCCCCCAATAGTTTTGGAAAAGAAAGAAAAGGACTCTCCATTTGAAGTATGTTTCCCCATAAAAACTGAGAGAAATAGATTCTTAAAGCTTCAAAAGACTTCAGTTTTCCCTGAATATTTCCAAAAACCAAATTAATGTTTATCCCATGACTTCTTGCAATAATTCTGTTTTAGAATACTTCAGTGTAATGGTTTTGTATTTGATTATTAAAGAAGGAAGATTTGGTGCCCAAAAATGTAATATATAAACTTTGGATTTATTGAGCTGTACTGTTTAGCTTCCATAATGAGTACCTGATTATTTCATTGGCAAGTACATTTTTTCCTTTTTGGTAAAAGGATCTAAGTATTCCATGCATATTTATGTCTGGGGGAAAAAAGATTTTTCTAGAATAAATGTGGCCTGGTAGGTTCAGGGGCATCTATTGAATTGCCCAGTCCAACTGTAGTAGGTTGATTATTTTTCCCCTTGGGGGAAAATATTCATAAACACTTCTGTGTTTTGGTTTTCATTACATAAACTGTATTGTATTTCAAATATTGTTTTATTGTTATTTTAATGTTAGAAAATAGATGAGATAGGGACTAGCTGGGCAATTTCAAGAAGTTGACGTGGACACAAAGAAACACTCGCACTCTATTTATGATCACCAGTCCTAATATGAACTTTGAGCAAAGTTAAGTAGCCCATTTAGAATCACAAACTAGAGTATGAAGCAATGTTACTAAACGTACTAACAATACTGCAAAACTCTAAAGGTTCTAATACACTAAGAATATTTTAGTGTCTTGGCTCTGGAGGACACCTAATCAAACACAAACCCAGCCTTCATCAGACAGCGTCTTCCTTTGTTGCAAAGATCACCCCGGCTGAGACTTTCTGTATGGGTAAAGCTTAAGGTAGTTTTACTCTGGTTTCTGGGCATCTTTTCTAGCTCCTTATTCTAAAGCCTAATTGAGCCATTTAAAAAATCAATTACTAAATGATTTTTAGGGATAAAATCTTATTGTCACATGGATACAATATGTGCAAGGATTTAAATATGGGGAAACTCCTTTTCCAATTTTCTTCTTCCACAAACCCTTCCTACTTTAGGAAAGGTCTGTGTATTTTTCTTTTTTTTTTAATTTTTATTTACATTCAATTAGCCAACCTATAGTACACCATTAGTTTCGGATGTAGAGTTCAGTAATTCATCAGTCGCATGTAACACCCAGCGCTCATCACATCACACTGTGTACATTTCTTAGATTAAATGCACGGCTGTGATTTTTCCGGGGATTCAGGAAACCCCTATTTCGTTTCTATCACTTCCGCCAACATAGGCTTATCAGAACAGGAGAGCCACCTCTCTGCCTTCTGGCCATCGTCCTGTCTCTGCTGACTCCCTCACACTGGTGGCTAAGGCCTTTCCTGGAAAGAATCTACAGGCTAAAACCCAAAACTGGATGATTTTTCGCAGACAATACTCTCTAAAATACACAGAAGGCTTGAGTTGCCAGAACGGTGTGAACTTGCCAGTGTTTTGCTAACTATTTCCAGAACACTCACTGCTGCTAGCTGTTACCACAATTTTTTCCTAGTAAGAATGCATTTAAGGGAAACGTTGTAAAAACACGGTTGCTTTAGTAGGAACTTTCTTGTATTATTAGCACTAAGTTATTGGAAAGATATAAAATAGAATCACTTTTTAAAAAAAAAAAGTTGCAACAGCGATATAGATCATTTTCTGGGTTGCGCTTTGCAGAAGTGAAGTTTTTCTGTGAAACTCCATCCGTTGCTGATATTGTGATCCTGGTTGATGGTTCATGGAGTATTGGAAGATTCAACTTCAGACTGGTTCGGCTTTTCTTGGAGAACCTGGTGACAGCCTTCAACGTGGGCTCAGAGAAGACACGAATTGGTACATGGTCTGTTATTAGCGGAAGTCAGCTGTCAGTGTAAATATGCTGGGAAGCTTCATAAGAGATTTCAAAAACTTTAGAGAGCAGCTTTCAGAATTATAGGATCAGCTGTGGTGATATTTCTAGGAGCACAGGTTTGGATCAATAAATATCTATTCCTACTAATTTACACTGAATGATTCTGTCATTCAATTAATTATTGAACACACTTTAATTTTCTAAAAAGTCAAAATCTTCTGTGCCTTCAAATAATAACTTTTAAAGTTGCAACTGGTTTAGGAACTTTTCAGGTAGAAGTTTTCTTTTTATTTAAAAGAAACAGCTGAATCCAGTGGAATTTTGAACTAAGAAAATTGGAAATTGGAAATAGATTTAGAGTACAAAATAATCTTTGCCAAGTTAATCCAAGATCAAAAAAAAGTTATAAATCTTTGAGCAATATATCCCACTTTATCATATAGAGTCTCATAGTTTCACTTTTATATAGCCATTAAGGAAAATCATTCCTTTGAGGATAAAAATGAACCAGTAAATCTAGACCTTTTATCTACAAATATAATCAGATTTGTTTTTTAAATACCAAGTACCTAATTAGGTGCTACTTCTAAATGGCTAGAAAATATGTACTTTCCTCCTGCTCCAAGATATGTCCAAACTAATTCCTTAAATTGATGCCAAGAATTCTTTTTGAAAATACACAGTGAAGCAGAGAAAGAATTGTTATAAAGATCAGGCCCTTTATTACTCTGGTTTCACAAACAGTCCATTAGATCTTTGAGTAACCCATCATTTCTGGGTGGGCTGTCTCATCATTTTTTACCAGGTCTTGCACAGTATAGCGGCGACCCCCGAATAGAATGGCACTTGAATGCCTTCAGCACAAAAGATGAGGTCATCGAAGCGGTCCGAAATCTACCCTATAAGGGAGGAAATACACTAACAGGTATGTTTCATTCAGTTTGTGTTTTTAGCAATGTATCATGCCAAAGATTCGTTTCATTTCTTCATTCTGCCCCTCTGTAAGACTTGGCATAGTATTTTTAAACCAAACTAAAATCTGAAATTCTTAGATGGCTCTTTTCTCAAACTCAGCCTTAAGAATTAAAACCCAGACACACCATTCCTTTGGCTACCTGAATGTAATGTCCCCAGAAGGGCATGGTTGGGCCAGAAGGAGATGGAACAATGCCGAGGCTGACAGTCTCAGAGGGCTGGCCGTCTTAGCTTTTGCCAGTTCATTTTCCTTCCTCTTTTCACCTGGATTCTCCTCTAGCCACCCCATCATTTATTTTTTTAATTAATTAATAATTTTTTAAAAGATTCTATTTATTTATTTTAGAGAGAGAGCGAGCTCGAGTGGGGGGAGGGGCAGAGAGAGAGGAAGAGAGAGAGATGCCAAGCAGACTCTGCACTGAGCATGGAGCCTGACATGGGGCTTGATTCTGGGACCCTGAGATCCCGACCTGAGCCAAAATTAAGAGTTGGATACTCATCGACGGAGCCATCCAGGCACCGCAAGCCACCCCATCTTTAAATGGAAACAAATTTCTACCTTTTTTATTTTCAAGGAAGGTATTTTCTTTGCCCTTATTCTGCAATCAGTAGGTATCATAAAAATATTTATGGGTCTTTGGCTCACCAGTATTTTTGGTAAACAAGGAATGTAAGAATATTTAGATTATAATTATTCCAGCCACAAAGGGTTGTCACAGGTTTTAACCTTAGTACCTGCTCTTTTCTTCTGTAAGTGCACAATACAGATGCTCATTTTAAGTAGTAGCGATGCTATCATCGACTTTTAAGTAAACCATTGAAATCTTGGTAATTGCTTTGGCACTTTGAGGCATAATCTTTTTGTTAATACAACAAAAAACTTCATTAAACTCAAATCTTATAACAATATTGCAGCATTTCTTATTTTTTTCTAAAGGATTAAAAGTGTTACACTCAAAAGGCAGGAATTCGGTGATCATTTTGGATCTGCTTCCACTATCCCTAAAAAAAGAGACAGAGAATTTTTGGTTCTTTAGACCATCATAAACAAATTTTTGATAATATTTGGGACTGTTGCTTCTGTGTGGGTATTCCTGCTTCATCCTAAATTATAAAGGTTTACATTTTCTTGTACACAGATCTGTCAACATTGATTGGCCATGAATTTAATGTTCTTTGTAAATGCTAGTTTCTGAAATGAGGGACTATTCAGTTATTCATATTACCTCTATTCTGATAGATTTTAGGTTTTCATCAGATCTGTCAAGAAAAAAAGGTCATTGTAAAAATGAAGATGAAAATTCATATCTAATAAAAAAATTTTTTTAAATTTTATTTTATTATGTTATGTTAGTCACCATACAATACATCACTAGTTTTTGATGTAGTGATCCAAGATTCATTTGTTTTTGTATAACACCCAGTGCTCCATGCAGTACGTGCCCTTCTTAATATCCATCACTGGGCTAACCCATCCCCCCACCTACCCCTCCCCTCTAAATCCCTCAGTTTGTTTCTCAGAGTCCATAGTCTCTCATGGTTCCTCTCCCCCTCCGATTTCCCCCCCTTCATTTTTCCCTTCCTTCTCCTAATGTCCTCCATGCTATTCCTTATGTTCCACAAATAAGGGAAACCATATGATAATCGACTTTCTCTGCTGGACTTACTCCACTTAGCATAATCTCCTCCAGTCCCATCCATGTTGATGTACAAGTTGGGTATTCATCCTTTCTGATGGCTGAGTAATATTCCATTATATATATGGACCACATCTTCTTTATCCATTCATCTGTTGAAGGGCATCTCGGCTCTTTCCACAGTGTGGCTATTGCAGACATTGCTGCTATGAACATTGGGGTGCATATGGCCCTTCTTTTCACTACATCTGTGTCTTTGGGGTAAATACCCAGGAGTGCAATTGCTGGGTCATAGGGTAGCTCTGTTTTTAATTTTCTGAGGCACCTCCACACTGTTTTCTAAAGTGACTGTACCAACTTGCATTCCCACCAACAGTGTAAGAGGGTTCCTCTTTCTCCACAACCTCACCAACATTTGTTGTTTCTTGCCTTGTCAATTTTTGCCATTCTAACTGGCGTAAGGTGGTATCTCAGTGTGGTTTGGATTTGAATTTCCCTGATGGCTAATGATGATGAACATTTTTTCATGTGTCGGTAACCAATTGGAAGGCTTCTTTGGAGAAGTGTCTGTTCATGTCTTCTGCCCATTTTTTGACTTGATAATTTGTTTTTTGGGTGTTGAGTTTGAGAAGTTCTTTATAGATCTTGGATACCAGCCCTTTATCTGTAGTATCATTTGCAAATATCTTCTCCTATTCTGTGGGTTGCCTCTTTGTTTTGTTGACTGTTTCCTTTGCTGTGCAGAAACTTTTTATCTTGATGAAGACCCAAAAGTTCATTTTTGCTTTTGTTTCACTAGCTTTTGGAGATGTATTTTGAAAGAAGTTGCTGTGGCCGATGTCAAAGAGGTTACTGCCTATGTTCTTCTCTAGGATTTTGGTTTTTTTGTTTTGTTTTGTTTTTTGTTTTTTGTTTTTTTTTCCAGAATTCTCTAGGATTTTGATGGATTCCTGTCTCACATTGAGGTCTTTCATCCATTTTGAGTTTATCTTTGTGAATGGTGTTAGAGAATGGTTGAGTTTCATTCTTCTGCATGTGGCTGTCCAATTTTCCCAGAACCATTTATTGAAGAGACTGTCTTTTTTCCATTGCATATTTTTTCCTGCTTTGTCGAAGACTATTTGACCATAGAGTTGAGGGTCCATATCTGGGTTCTCTATTCTGTTCCATTGGTCTGTATGTCTGTTTTTGTGCCAGGACCATGCTGTCTTGGTGATCACTGCTTTGTAATATAGCTTGAAATCGGCAACGTGATGCCCCCAGCTTTGTTTTTCTTTTTCAACATTTCCTTGGCGATTCGGGGTCTTTTCTGATTCCATACAAATTTTAGGATTGTTTGTTCCAGCACTTTGAAAAATGTCGTTGGAATTTTGATCGGGGTGGCGTTGAAGGTATAGATTGCTCTGGATAGCATAGACATTTTAACAATGTTTATTCTTCTGATCCATGAGCATGGAATGTTTTCCCATCTTTTTGTGCCTTCTTCAATTTCTTTCATGAGTGTTCTGTAGTTCCTAGAGTATAGATTCTTTACCTCTTTGGTTAAGTTTATTCCGAGGTAGCTTATGGTTTTTGGTGCTATTGTAAATGGAATCGTTTCTCTAATTTCTCTTTCTACAGTTGCACTGTTAGTGTATAAGAAAGCAGCTGATTTCTGTGCATTGATTTTGTATCCTGCCACATTACTGAATTGCTGTATGAGGTCTAGTAATTTGGGGGTGGAGCCTTTTGGGTTTTCCACATAAAGTATCATGTCATCTGTGAAAGAGAGAGTTTGACTTCTTCTTTGCCAATTTGAATACCTTTTATTTCTTTTTGTTGTCTGATTGCTGTTGCTAGGACTTCTAGTACTATGTTGAACAATAGTGGTGAGAGTGGGCATCCTTGACATGTTCCTGACCTTAAGGGAAAGGCTCTCAGCTTTTCCCCATTGAGGATGATATTCACTGTGGGTTTTTCGTAGATGGACTTTATGAACTTGAGGAATATTCCCTCTATCCCTATACTCTGAAGAGTTTTAATCAGGAAAAGATGCTGTATTTTGTGAAATGCTTTTTCTGCCTCAATTGAGAGGACCATATGGTTCTTCTCTCTCCTCTTATTAGTGTGTTCTATCACATTGATTGATTTGCAGATGTTGAACCACCCTTGCATCCCGGGGATAAATCCCACTTGGTCGTAGTGGATGATCCTTTTAATGTATTGTTGGATCCTATTAGCTAGGATTTTGGAATCCATATTCATCAGGGATATTGGCCTGAAATTTTCCTTTTTGATGGGGTCTTTGCCTGGTTTGGGGATTAAGGTAATGTTGGCCTCATAGAATGAGTCTGGAAGCTTTCTTTCTGTTTCTATTTTTTGAAACAGCTTCAGGAGAATAGGTATTATTTCTTCTTTAAATGTTCGGTAGAATTCCCCAGGGAATCCATCAGGCCCTGGACTCCTGTTTTTTAGGAGGATTTTGATCACTGCTTCAATCTCGTTACTGGTAATTGGCCTATTCACGTTGGCAGTTTCTTCCTGTTTCAGTCTTGGGAGTTTATAGGTTTCCAGGAAGGCATCCATTTCATCCAGGTTGCTCAGCTTATTGGCATATAGTTGTTGATAATAATTTCTAATAATTGTTTCTATTTCCTTGGTGTTAGTCGTGATCTCTCCCCTTTCATTCATAATTTTATTAATTTGGGTCCTTTCTTTTTTCTTTTGGATAAGTCTGGCCAGTAGTTTATCGATCTTATTAATTCTTTCAAAGAACCAGCTTCTAGAGTTGTTGATCTGATCTACTGTGTTTCTGGTTTCTTTTTTTTTTATTGTTATGTTAATCGCCATACATTACATCATTATTTTTGATGTAGTGTTCCATGATTCATTGTTTGTGCATAACACCCAGTGCTCCATGCAGAACATGCCCTCTTTAATACCCATCATCAGGCTAACCCATCCTCCCACGCCCCTCCCCTCTAGAGCCCTCAGTTTGTTTTTCAGAGTCCATCGTCTCTCATGGTTCGTCTCCCCCTCCAATTTTCCCCCTTCATTCTTCCCCTCCTGCTATCTTCTTCTTCTTCTTTTTTTTTCTTAACATATATTGCATTCTTTGTTTTAGAGGTACAGATCTGTGATTCAACAGTCTTGCACAATTCACAGCACTCACCATAGCACATACCCTCCCCAATGTCTATCACCCAGCCACCCCATCCTCCAGCAACCCTCAGTTTGTTTCCTGAGATTAAGAATTCTTCATATCCGTGAGGTCATATGATACATGCCTTTCTCTGATTGACTTATTTCGCTCAGCATAACACCCTCCAGTTCCATCCACATCATTGCAAATGGCAAGATCTCATTCCTTTTGATGGCCTCATTGATCTCTGCTCTAATCTTAATTAATAAAAAAAACCTTTTAGGTCAATAAGTTACTTATATTGTGGTTTAATTTTGCAGAATTGGAAGACTTTTTATTAGAGGTGATTGGTTTGTGTTTATTTTTTCTTGTTTTCTCCCAGGTCTTGCTTTGAACTACATTTTTGAAAATAGCTTTAAACCAGAAGCAGGAGCAAGGACTGGAGTGTCCAAAATTGGCATTTTAATCACAGATGGAAAGTCCCAAGATGATATTATTCCACCATCTAGAAACCTCCGTGAATCTGGTGTAGAACTCTTCGCCATAGGTATGTGTTGTCATGGTCCTATTTCAATAATGGGCACAGATACACAACCACTTAAAACAATATGTAATGCAAAGGGCACTTCATTGAAAGCCAGGAGACCTGGACTGTTTCTAGTCCTGACTCTAGTTATAGCCAGTCTTGTGACCTGAGCCCAACTTCATTACATTTAAGATGGAAGTGGTGGTAACTTTCATGTACTCTATAGTGTGAGGATCTCTAGATGAGATGCCGTCCATAAAATGTGAAAAGCATAAAGTAACATGCAAAGATTAGGTACATGTTTGTTAGCTTTTAATTAGTGAAGACTTTCTCTCTCTCTCTCTCTTTTTTTTTTTGTAAAGATGTATTTATTTATTTGAGAGAGAGAGAGGAGGGAGGGGGGAGGGGCAGAGGAAGAGGGAGAGAGAATCTCAAATAGACTCCCTGCTGAGCACAGAGCCCGACTCGGGGCTTGATCTCACAACCCTGAGATCATGACCTGAGTTGAAACCAAGAGTCTGATGCATAACCACTGAGCCACCCAGGCGCTCTGGGACTTTCTCTTTAGTATCACTTTATAGCAATCTCTTCTCCGGTAGTATAGGGAGAAACCAGTTTATCGTTTTCAAGGAATTCAGGTCCTGCAACTATTTAGAAAGCATAAAGTTCTAGATAGGCAGTATTATTTCTTTGAGATGAACTCTTTATAAGGTATTGTTCTTGTGGAAAAGGATACATGTGGCACACATTCAGAATAACTGCAGAACATTTAGATGATGCAACTTTGCTCTCGATTAAAATATTTACAGTTTATTTGGCAGCAGGAAAGTCTTTTACTTAGTAGAGACCAACCAAAACAAAACAGAACAAAACAAAACAAAATCCCCAAACAAGAAACAATTCATCCGAACCCTTCCTAGATTTTCTACTGAAAATGTGGTTAATAGAGTGTTCCATTCAAGAAGTTTGTGCTTACATGCTCTGTGCCAGGCATTGTGGTGGGTGCCGGGACACAGAGATAAGGAAGGCAAAGTCCTTGCAGAACAAATTCTTTCCAAGTCCTGATGACCTTTTCTTCTCTTTTCCAAGCTGTTTGCAACAAACTATTTAGTTTGGAAAGGTAAGACAGAGATAGTAGAGATTTGGGGCTATCTTCCCTAGAATATACTTTTTGTTGTTTTTATTGTAGTTAGAGGTTTTTTTTTTTTCCTAGACTATTCTTATATATGAATACAAACTTGCTGGTTTTACTTAAAAGCCATCAAAAGCATTATTGACATTAAGTTCATTGTCTGTCATGTACTCGGTGCTTTTTGTTCCTGTGGACACAGATCCAACTGTACATTTTAGAAGCTTTTGTTGAAGTCCTTCAGGCAAGAAATGTCAAAGAAATTTATCTAATTTTTATTTTTTATTTTACTATCCTGTTGTCCAACAGAGGAAATCTTTTTAGACAATAAACTAATGGGATTAATTTATGTGTTTAATTTCCATTCTGTGGTCTTGTTGATAATGAATGGATAAGTTTTTAAACAAAACTTTAAGTGAACTCACAGATGTAATTTGGACTTTTTCTCTGGAAATTACCTGGAAATCATTAGTATTTATTATCTTATAACCCCCTAGAGCACATAGTTCAGACAGCTAACACTGTGTCACTCAGTATGTCGAAGGTGGAAGATAAATCAAACGGCACAGCCAGGCATCTGAGAAGTCATTCATGTTGCCCTAGGTAATCTCTCTTCCCTGCTTCCACAGCACCTTTAAAAAAAAAAAAATACCTTTAGGTGATTGTAATGACAGATTTATAAAGAAAGGCTCCTTGTTTGCTGAAGCCTGGGGAAGAGAAATCTACCTCCACACCCATAAAACCCAAACCTGTGCCTTCCTTTTCTATTTATATTTTTATTTACTCATTTTAATTTACGATCTTCTGAGAGGTGGCATGATACAGTGGTTAAGAGCATATGACTTTAGATCTCAACTACTTGGTGGGAATTCCAGCTGTACACTTACTGGTGTGTTTCCTTGAGCAAGTTAATTAACCTTTCTGTGCAACACCTTACAATGAGAGCAACAATAGTACCAAATTCCTAGGGTTGATTGTGGGGATTAAATGTGTTCATATACATAAAGCACTGCAGTTCCTGGGGCAGAGCATATACACTCTAAGTGTTAGCATCCACTGCTAAGATAGACTGGGAAAGTTGCATGGGAGCTGAGGATTTTCTGTCTCCCTCTGTTCCCTGCTGCATTCCAAACACCCAGCATTGTGCTTGACTTGTAGCAATGGAATTTCACAAAGTTTGCGGGAGAAGCAGAGCTTCCCTATTTGCATTAGCAAAATTGCAGTGGTTACTAGTCAGCCAGTTGTACTTGAATATGTTAACATTTTTTTCCCAAGCTGTCTCTTAATGCTATATAATAATACTATAAATAGTAATAACAATACTTTTATATATATAATTTTTATTCTAACAGTAGCTCTTAATTTAAGTAAACTTATTTTGTAGAAATTGAAACCTAAGGTATTGATAGTTTAGAATGCTGGTTTAATTACTATTGCTTCTGCACTGTTCATGCAAGACAGACGTTATTATCTTCCTGTTAAGATACACCAAACAAAATTAGGATGTAATCATTTAAAAATTATGCCGAAGGTGACTTTTACAAAACAATCTAACGTGAAATGCACCTCTTTAAAGTAGCAGATGTTTGATTGCCGGGGGGTTACAATGGGCTCAGGACAGGCTCACGGAGGTTGGTTTTTCAAATGGGGCACGAATGTCATGACCCTCCCTATTGTCCTCAATGCAAGGGGTGAAAAACGCAGATGAGAAGGAACTGCAGGAGATCGCCTCTGAACCAGACAGCACTCATGTCTACAATGTTGCCGAATTTGACCTGATGCACACAGTTGTGGAGAGCCTGACGAGGACTGTCTGCTTCCGGGTGGAAGAACAGGACAGGGAGATCAAAGGTAAGGCGAGCAGCAGAAGGTAGTCATTCTGTGCATGTGGATATTACTCTGCCCAAAAGTCTATTGTGGATTATGAAAATTCTTATCATTTTTCATGTTGACTTTCTAAATAGAGCCCTTTATTCCCCTAAGACATGAGTCATGAGAGTAGAAAGGGAATGTAGTGACAGCCCACTGAGGGAGGAATAGTTTAACCACTAGATCATTTTCTCCATGGTGTTGCATTTAGACCATCATGAGGGTTTGTTTTTAACTAAACTTTGGAATTTGAGGTAATTGTACATTCATATAAAGTTGTAAGAAATAAGATAGAGAGAGATCGTGTATACATTACCAAGTTCCCCTTAATGGTGAGATATTCCAGAACTCTAGTACAATATCCCAGGCAGGATACTGGAATGAGAGCCAAAGTACAGAACACTCCCATCACCACAGAGATCATTCCCGTTGTCCTCTTATGGCCCCATTCACTTATTCCTCCCACAACCTCTCCCTCACCCCGGACAACCACTGATTGGTGTTCCATCCCTAAATAGTCTTCATTTTGAAAATATTATGTAAATGGAATTATGTGGTATGTCCTCTTTGGGGACTGACTTTTTATTCAGGATAATTTCCTGACAATTCATCCTACTTTTGTTGCGTTTATCAGTAGCTCTTTCCTTTCTACTGTTCTGTCATATTCCATGATATGGACGAACCACAGTCTGCTTAACTGTGGACACACTGAAAGTCAGTCAGAGAAAGACAATTATCATATGATTTCACTCATATTGGAATTTCAGAAACAAAACAGAGGAACATAGGGGAAGGAAGGGAAAAATAAAAATAAGATGAAACCAGAGAGGGAGACAAAGCATGAGACACTCTTAACCATAGGAAACAAACTGAGGGTCCCTGGAGGGGTGGGGGTGGGGGGAAGTGGTAACTGGATGATGGGCATGAAGGAGGGCCCATGATAGAATGAACACTGGGTGTTACACGCAACTGATGAATCCCTGAATTCTTCCTCTGAAACTAATAATACAGTATATGTGAATTAACTGAATTAAAATAAAATAAAATTATAAAAAAAGAAAGGAAGACATCTGAGTTGTTTTCATTTTGGGCTGTTACAAGTAAATCTGCTATGAATGTTCACATATAGGTTCTTGTGTGAACGTAAGTTTTCATTTCACTGGGATAGTGCCTGGAGTGCACAATTGCTGTATCATATTGTAGCAGCATGTTTAATTTAGCTTAGTGTTAGTTAGGAAACTGCCACACTGTTTTCCAGGGAGGCTGCAGCATTCGACGTTCCCACCAGCAATATATGAGTGATTCTGTTTCTGTGCATGGTCACCAATATTTGTTGTTGTTACTATATTTTATTTTAGGCATTCTGATATGTGTGTAATGGTATCTCATTGTGGCTTTAATGTGATGGCTAATGGGGGCGCCTGGGTGGCTCAGTTGGTTAAGCGACTGCCTTTGGCTCAGGTCATGATCCTGGAGTCCTGGGATCGAGTCCCGCATCGGGCTCCCTGCTCAGCAGGGAGTCTGCTTCTCCTTCTGACCCTCCCCCCCTCATGTGCTCTCTCTTTCTCTCTCTCTCTCATTCTCTCTCCTTCAAATAAATAAATAAATAAATCTTTAAAAAAATGTGATGGCTAATGAAATTGGATCTTTTTTGCATGCTTATTTTACATCTGTATTTGCTCTTAGGCTGTTCATATCTTTTGCCAATTTTCTAATTAGATGAATGTGTGTGTGTGTGTGTGTGTTTAGTTTTTAACTGTTAAGTTTTGACAATTCTTCATTTATATTCTAGATACTAATCCTTTGTTAGATATGTGGTTTGTTACTATTTTCCCCCAACCTGTATCTTGTTTTTTCATCCTTTTAACAAGGTCTTTTGCAGAACAAAAGTTTTAAATTTTGATTAGGTCCAATTTATCAATTTTGTATTTTATGGTTATTGCTTTTGGTATCTAGTCTTAAGTAACTACTCTTTGGCGATAAATGCTAAAAATTTTCTTTTGTATTTTTATTCTAAAAGTTTTATGTTTTACATTTAAGTCCATGATCCAGGTTAAATTTTTGTAGAAGATTTGAAGTTTAGATCAAGGCTTTTGGGTTTTTCGCCTATCAACGTATAATTCTCAAGCACTACTTCCTGAAAATGCTCTATTTCTGCCATTGAATTGCCTTGGCACCTTTGTCAAGGATCAGTCAGGCAAATTTGTGTGAGTTTATATCTGAATTCTCTGTTCTGTTCTGTTGGGTCTATGAGTCTAACCCTCTTCCAGTATCCTACAAGCTTGATTTCCTGTAGCTATATAAGTCTTGAGATTGGATGGACTGAGTTCTCCCACTTGATTATTCTGTTTGAAAATTGCTTTCACTATTTTTCTTTCTTTACCTTTCCATATAAATATTAGAGAAAGCTTTATTCTACAAAAAATCTTGTTGGGATTTTGTTAGGAATTGCATTAAATCAATTCTCAATTATCAAATATTAACATGGGAAGAACTGACATCCTTACTGTGTGGATTTTTCCAGTCCTTGAACATGGTAAATTCCTCCATTTGTTTAGATATCCTTTGATTTCTTCATCAGCATTTTGTAGTTTTCAGGATACAAGTTCTGTACAGGTTTTGTTCTGTTTACATCTCTCTGTATTTAATTTTATTTTGGGGAATTTTAGTTATATTTTATTTTTTATTTTGGTGTCCACATGTTCATTGTGAGTATATATGGATACAATTATATTTTTGTATGTTTATTTTGTATCCTATGACCTTATTATTTGAATTTGCTAATTTTAGGATTTTTTTCCTCTGGATTTTCAGGGATTTTTCTATGGAGGTGATAAATCATATCCTTTGCAAATAGGGATAGTTTTATTTCTTTGCTTTTGATCTCTGTGCTTTTTATTTTCTTGCCTTGTTTCACTGGCTAAAATTTCCTGTCCTGTGTTGAATAAGAGTGATGAGAGTGAACATCCTTTCCTTATTCCCCATCTTAGGATGAGACTTTCTGCTTTTCATGGAAATGGTTCATTCCATAGAATTTGTAGAATATATGTGTGGAAAGTTATTCATAGTATTATTCCCTTATTATTCATTTGATGTCTGTAGGGTCTATAGTGATAGTCTCTGGTTTTTTCCCCGATATTGGTAATTATAATCTTCTCTCTCTCTCTTTTTTCTTTCTCAGCCTTGCTAGAGGTTTGTTCTTAAAACAAAACAAAACAAACAAACAAAAAACCTTTTCAAAGAACTGGCTCTTGGTTTTGTTGATTTTCTTTATTTTTTTATTATTTTCGTTGATTTTCTTTATTTTTCCTCTTTTTAATTTCATTGATTTCTGCTCTTCTTTTTCTTTTTTTTTCTTTGTGAGGCAGTTTTATTTTTTATTTTTTTAATTTAATTCATTTTTTTAATTGAAGTATCGTTGGTGTACAATAAAAATGAGGTGGTGTCCAGAGTGATCCGATAGTTTTATTTTTTATTTTTTTTATTTTTTAATTTTTAATTTTATTATGTTATGTTAGTCACCATACAATACATCATTAGTTTTTGATGTGGTGATCCACGATCCATTGTTTTCATATAACACCCAGTGCTCCATGCAGTACGTGCCCTCCTTAATACCATCACCGGGCTAACCCATGCCCCCTCCCACCTCCCCTCTAAAACCCTGTTTGTTTCTCAGAGTCCATAGTCTCTCATGGTTCATCTCATTTTTTCCTTCCTTCTCCTAATGTCCTCCATGCTATTCCTTATGTTCCACAAATAAGTGAAACCGTATGATAATTGACTTTCTCTGCTTGACTTATTTCACTTAGCATAATCTCCTCCAGTCCCATCCATGTTGATGTACAAGTTGGGTATTCATCCTTTCTGATGGCTGAGTAATATTCCATTGTATATATGGACCACATCTTCTTTATCCATTCATCTGTTGAAGGGCATCTCAGTTAATTCATATCTTTCAATAATCACTCTCAATGTGAACGGCCTAAACGCTCCCATAAAACGGCACAGGGTTGCAGATTGGATAAAAAGCAGGACCCATCCATATGCTGCCTACAAGAGACTCATTTTGAACCTAAAGATACATCCAGACTGAAAGTGAAGGGATGGAGATCCATCTTCCATGCCAGCGGACCTCAAAAGAAAGCTGGGGTAGCAATTCTTAGACAGATTAGATTTTAAACTAAAGTCTGTAATTAGAGACACAGAAGGACACTATATCATTCTTAAAGGGTCTATCCAACAAGAAGATCTAACAATTGCTCTTATTTTTCTTATTTTCTTTCTTTTACTGGTTTTGAGTTTATCTTGCTCATACTTTTCCAGATTGTTGAGATGAGAACTTGGATTACTGATTTGCAATGTTTCCTCTTTCTCTAATTATTGAAATGCTATAATTTTCCTTCTCAGCACTGCTTTAGCTGTGCCTTACAAATTTTGATATGTTGTATTTTCATTTTTATTCATTTCAAAGTATTTTTTGATCTTCTTTGACCTGTTCTCTTTGACTCATTGATTATTTAGAAGTGGTTGTTTATCATTTCAAAGTGTTTGGGTGTTTTTCTGTTACCTGTCTGCAAGTGGTTTCTAGTTTGATTTCACTGTCACTGGAGAACACACTCTGTGTGATTTTTATTGTTTTAAATTTTCTGAGGTTTGTTTTCTGGCCTAGGATATGGTCTGTCTTGCTACATACATGCCCTGTGGGTGCTTGAAAAGGATGTGTATTCTGCTATTGACAGGTGCAATATTCTGTAAGTTTGACTGGATCCCGTTGGTTGATGGTCTTGTTGAGTTCTGTATCCTTGCTAATTTTTCTGTCCAGTCATCTTATCAATAGATTCTGGATTCTTTAGTTCCATGTCTAGGACATATGAGATGGAAGGAAAACTCAGGGGATTCACCATTATATCATTCTTCAGGTCCTGCAATTCCTCCCCCGTATACCTTCTTCTCTTTCAGTGTCTTCTTATGCTTGTCTTAATACATAGTTTACAGAATTTTTAGTTGTACTTGGCAGCAATAATTGGGGAAAGTACATCAATTCTATCTTCCTGGAAGCATAACCATCATGTATTTTTTTAACCTTCGTCCCTCATGATATCATTGTCCTGCAGGTTATATCTGGTTTACAGGGATGTGATCTGAGGAGAGGGTAATATCCAGATCTTCCTTTGAGAATTTGGTTTTATTTCCTGCCTTCATTGTATCCAGGGTGTGGAATGATTCTAATTGGCTACATCTCTTCCATCATTCCTTTTTTCTGGACCAGATCTCTTGGGACTAGGTTTGACAGCCAAGCAGTAGTTTCTTGAATATGTTTCTCTGAGCTTTTAATGTGACTACTTTAGAGACTAATTTTTTTCGCACAAAAAAACTCTACCTGTGGTTGTTGATAGAGCATATAATATAGTCCCTGGCCATAAGTTAAGCATTCAGTAACTATGTTTTTTTTTCTCATTAATATGGTTGGTTATTAAGGTTGCTTTGGGTAAGTCCTTAAAGGATAAGAAATCCTAAAGTTCAAGGACTTTGAACTTTACATGTCCCAACTCTTTTATAGAGTCATTTATACATACACAAAGTGCTTACATAGTGTCTAGCTTATAGGGAGCACTCAGTATATGTTAGTTGTCTTTTCTTCTCTTTTTACTTTTAGATACTGGCCATTTGTTGAATTGAAGTCTTCTGTAAAGAGACTATACCCCCTGATGCTTAAAAACACAGGCTCTTATATCAAAAACTCAAGTATCAATCTCAGCTCTGATACTTACTTAAGTGTGAGACTTGGTCAAGTTATTTAACTTCATTGTGCCTTGGTTTTCTCACCTACAAAATGGGAACAATAGTAGTAACTACTGAGAATTAAGATAATACTTCTAAAGAGCTCAGGAGAGTACCTTTAGATACACATGTGCTCAATCAGTGTTGTGTTTCTGTTTTTGTTTTTTTAATTATTCTATAGCAATGTCTTTAAGAAAGTTTTTTGGAGTCAAGGACTCTCTTATTAAAAGTTTGTATCCTCAGAACCTAACATAGTGGTTGGTATGTAATAGGCACTTAAATGTTTCAGTGAACAAATGTAGGAATGAATAATTGAATCAATTTGTCTAGAGATGAAATCTTAGAGATAGCACAAAGCCAATAGTCATTTCTGACTAATGGAGTTTCCTAGGCTTATGAGAAATAATTCTGGGAAAGAGGTTCACTTAATGTATTTCTATACTTTAGCCTCAGCTCTTGCCACCATTGGGCCGCCTACAGAGCTGATTACTTCTGAAGTCACTGCCAGAAGCTTTATGGTTAACTGGACTCATGCCCCAGGAAAAGTGGAAAAATACAGAGTCGTGTATTATCCTGCCAGGGGTGGAAAACCAGAGGAGGTAATAAGGAGACGATATTTTCAAACCATTATTTTCATTCTTTCAAGTCTTCCACGGTAGTGAGGACAAGACAGAAATGCATGTATAAGGAGTCTGTCACAAACATTTAAAATTCGTTGGACTGAAATATATTTCCAAGTGTCTACTTTGTTCTCCCATCTCTCAGGTTATGGCATTCATACTTTCTCCTCCCATCTCTATGCAATAACCCTCAGAATGAGTCATGTGTTCATTTCTAACACAACTTATTTTGACTTTTTTCCTTTTTAAAATTATTAAGTTCTAAAGCAGAAGGAATCGGTAGTTCATTATATGGCCAGAACCCCTTTTTGCTATTCATGTAGTCTTTCTACTTTGGGAGTGGTCTGAATTGTCTACCTTACTGAAGATTGTGTGTTCCAAATTATGTGGTCATATAGTCCTCCAAGGTTTGGGATTTCTGAGACATTGGTGGAGATTAGTGCAACTGAGAAGCCGTAATAAAGCATCTGTGGCTGGCGTTTTTCATGGTTTGGCCATCACAGGAGAGAATGCATATTGAGAGATGATTGATTGGATTTTTCCCATTTCCTACCTTTGACACAGCAATCACAGGGAATATGTTAAAATGTGATGAAATCTCCCCTCTTTTTTTTTTTTTTTTTGAGATGCAAACCTTTTGTTGTTCTAACCTTTGGTTGACCTCAGCATGTTTCACAGTATTCTTCCATATTATGGCAAGATTTTTAATTTTTTTTAAGTGTTCAAGAAGTAGATCAGGCAGATTTAAATCATCTGGACTGAAAAAGAAGTCAGAGTGCTTCCAATACTTCTATCTTTTTCATGACTAATAAGTCTGTTAAATGCTTCCTGAAACTCCATGGAAAAATATCACATGTCAATTTTAAGTGGAGGTGGTTAAGATAACAATTAGCCTGGGAAAGACACTCTCCATCAGATGTAACTTAATAAGGGACTTTTGGACATATTTCATAAAAGGTGCATCAATTCCCAGAGGAATTCCAGGAGAATTGACTGCCTCAGTGGAAAAGACGATGTGGCACAAATAAGAAAATATTGAATGACATGTTCTTGCTAGAGATATTTTGCTCTTTGGTTCCAATTCTGCATGTCAGATATTCCATACTCTCATTCCTCGAACTGTTCTTTAATTAGGTGGTGGTGGATGGAAGTGTGTCTTCCACGGTGTTGAAAGGCTTAATGTCTTTAACTGAATATCAGATAGCAGTCTTCGCAATATATGCTCACACGGCCAGTGAAGGCTTACGGGGAACCGAAACCACACGTATGTATTGAATTCTACTCCACGTCTGACCTTATACAGCATTGCTTAGGTGGCCTTTCTCAAGTTGGAATTCTGCTCAGGTTGTATTAATGGCCACCCTGAATCCAATTCCTAGGCAATGGTTGTGGTGCTCTATGCGATATGGGTCCATGTTGTAGTTGCAGTTTGTAAGTGCTGCATATTCAGAGGGATATTATAGACCTCTGCTTTGATAAGGAGAGAGCAACCTTGGTGGTGAAGGACACAAAATATATGTATTCACTTAATAAGCAAGTATTTAGTGGATATGTATTATGAACTAATTTAACTACGGACTCATTCATGTCTCCTCATTGTCTCTGCATGGATGGGTATATATTCATTCACATATTTGTTCCCACCCAGCCACGCATTCTGTCATTTATTAAGTGACACAATGACTGTGTTTAGTCATTTAGTCAAGCTGCCTCATGGCAGACGCTTGGCAAGGGCCATAAAACAGTGGTCAGAATAGTCTCCTTGCTCTTGACTGGCTCCCAGAGAAACGTGCCCATCACTGTAGTGGGATATAAGAAACTAGAAGTTGTTGTTCCTGCTTTTAAACATTCACTATGTTTGCCCTCCTGGAAGGGGTTGGCATGACTGTGTGAACATATTTAAGGATGAATATTATTTGAAAAGTAGACTGTGTTTACTTAGTAGATAGTAACACCTAGATACTTTGAAATAGGCAAGCATACTGATAAATGGCTGAACATTAATAAAAATATCTCTTGCAGTTGCTTTACCCATGGTTTCTGATCTTGAACTATATGATGTAACTGAGAACAGTCTGAGGGCAAAATGGAATGCAGTGCCTGGAGCATCAGGATACCTGATCCTCTATGCTCCTCTCACGGAGGGTCTGGCTGGGGATGAAAAAGAGGTAACCACCTGCTGCCTACTAGAGTCCTAGAATCTTTGACTTCCTGAAAATGGCTTTTTTTTTAATTCTAAAAGTTAAATGTATAAAATTTAGAAAATTCACATTAGTTAAAAGGGGAAAATCACTTGTAATCCCCCCACCCAGAAAGAGCTATTGTTAATATTTACTTAAGTCCTTTTTCATGCATTTTTTTTAAACACAGCAAATGGGTATGGTTTTGTAGTCTCCTATTTTTATTTTGTTTATTGTGAATATCTTTTCATACCATTAAATAATATTTTATATGGTTGTTTTAAATGGTGCTATAGTATTACATTGTTGTTTTGTATCAGGACATGTTTAATAAATTACATGTTATTGGGCATTTAGATAATGTGTTGAATAAATATGCTTTTGTGATCATTCTTAACATATAACTTTGCAAGGTTGTCAGATTATTTCCTTAGGATAAATTCCTAGAAATGGAGTTTATCTTTTCCAAAGGGCATGCAAAGGCTTATGCTAAGTATTAGCAAATGCTTCTAGAGAAATTTGTTATAATTTATATGGATGTATGCAATTCACAGATGGTTGTTTCCACATATGTACACTGACTTAGAAAGTTTTTTTCCTAATTTGAGAAGTAGAAAAATGTATTAGCACGGATTTTTTTGCATTTATTCCATTTGAAATGATGAATCTTTGACTTTCAAATGATTTATTTTAGGCTTTGTTTTTAATTTATAAGGAATGATTACTGTAATATAGGTATTCAAGGAATGATGAGGAAATATCTGTAACACTTGGGAGTGTTTGACTAGGCAGATTAGGGTGGTCAAGAGGGAGTTCAGAACTCAAATCTTTACTATTGTCTAAACATTGTCTTTAACATTGCTTCTGGTGACACAAATGTTTAGGGCCAAAAATATGGTGAATCTGAGTGTCAGGAACAGAGCATTGGTGATGTGTTTTTGTTTGTTTGTTTTGTTTTCACCTAAGGTTTAGAAAGCTTTAGTTCATTTGGATTTAATGTTGATCTGAATTATTTTGGCAGAAAGGACACTTAAAAAAATGAAGCTAGAAAGATGATCAGCTTCACCAAGAAGGAGAAAAATAAGAAAGAAAGTAACACCAGTTCACACCCAGTAGATTAGCACTTTTTAAAGTTTAGTAATAACTGCATATTAGTGAGCATATGGGAAACAGAATTATTCATGTAAATTGGTACAGCTGCCTTGGAGAATAATTTGAAAGATATCATCAAGTTGAAGATATGTATAACCTTTTAAGGAATATATCATAAGGAAACCTCCTGCAAGGCTTTTTGGGATGCAAGCATTTGTTCAAAACACAATGTTGCAAACGATTGACATGTTCATCAATAGAAGGATGGAAAATAGCAGAATATTTACACAAAAGAATACCATAAAGGAATTAATAATGTCATCTCTGTCCCTGCCCATCAACATGGATAAACCTTGAAACAGAATATTGACAGAAAAAAAGTTGCAAAAAATTATGTTGTTATGATTCCCTTTATGTACATTGTTAAACATACAGAACTGTATGTTATTTACAGATATATACATAGTAGAAGTAAATAACTGGATTAGTAAGGTGCACCTCAACCAGAGGGTAGAGATAGGGAACAGAAAGAATGAGAAAGAATTTCTGTTTTATCTGAATATGTTAGCTCTTTTAAAAATAAGATCGGAAGACATTGGGAGCGTATGTGCTATGGTGAGTGCTGTGAATTGTGTAGGACTGTTGAATCACAGACCTGTACCTCTGAAACAAATAATACATTATATGTCAAAAAAAAGAAGATAGTAGGAAGGGAAAAATGAAGGGAGGAATCGGAGGGGGAGACGAACCATGAGAGACTATGGACTCTGAGAAACAAACTGAGGGTTCTAGAGGGGTAGGGTGTGGGGGGATGGGTTAACCTGGTGATGGGTATTAAGGCGGGCACGTACTGAATGGAGCACTGGGTGTTATACGCAAACAATGAATCATGGAACACTACATCAAAAACTAATGATGTAATGTACGGTGATTAACATAACATAATAAAATAAAATTAAAAAAATAAGATCAGAAGTCAGTATGACAAAATGTTCATATTTATTAAATTTGAGTGGTGGGTGCAACAGGGTGAATCACATTCATTTCTCTACATTTATTTTATATATGTGGAAATATTTCAGAATTAAAATTTCTAATTTGACAATAACATTGGCACTTGGGTGATTGGAGACTGACTCTGGAGATGTTTTTCTTCCTTCCAAAACAAAAATAAAACCATGCTGTCAGGCAGTTGTCACACAACTGAGAATGTTGGCTAGTTTATTTGACTCCAAGGGTCAGAAAAGTCATCCCGGAATCAAAAAGCAAATTGCCACTTTGGATGTCAAGGTGGATTGATCTCTTCTGCAACCTGGAAAGAACTTGCAATCCAAGTACATGGGCCCCTTTGTTGAATGGGGCAACAAAACTGGTCCAGCTCAGTCAGGCTTGAAGTGAAGAATGGGCACCCAGCCAAGGGACTGGTTAGAATTAGCCAGTGATGAGAGATGCCCATTTGGCTCTGTCCCCAGTTTGCTGACCTAGAGCTTATACTCTTTCTAGACAACATTTCTGACTCAGTTCCACCCACACTCTTCTGAGGACTGAATTTGTGAGGCTGTTATTCTGGCTGAGATTACAACTTGTCCAGATGTAAAGTGTTATCCTAAAACAGCACACATGGGTACGTTCAGTTTTGTATGGTTCCATGGCACCTGTTCCTAATATAAAATGACACCAGACAATGAAAAATTATGACTGAAGCGTTTGAATAAGGGGTTGTGAGGACACAAAATCTTACTCTACGAAGTCTCACCTGTACTCAGCCACACTCTGATCAACATGAATGGTACACATTGGCTAACGATCTGATAACGTGTGTTCTTTTTTCAGATGAAAATTGGAGACACCCACACAGATATTGAATTGAGTGGGTTGATGCCCAATACGGAGTACACAGTTACAGTTTATGCCATGTTCGGAGAAGAGGCCAGCGATCCTGTCACAGGCCAAGAAACCACATGTGAGCAGCTCAGTCATTCAGAGGAAATACTGGAATAAAAGCCCAAATACATGTTGGGATTCTAAACTGGGAATACTGGCTTTGGTTGAAACCTTTAGGAGCTAACTGTAACTTAAGAAAATGTGTGTTTTATTTAGTGGCAGGAAATACACCAGTTGATTAAAAAAAGGAGGGGGATGGTCCCCCAAAAAATGATGTCTGTGGGTTCCTGTTCCTAGGACTGGCATATTTATGCAGTAAGGAAACTAGACATTGTTCCACCCAACTGCTAAATTTAACTGAACTCCAGAAAAATTTGGAGCAAAGCATACACAACACTTAAAAAATTATATTGCTTTTCTCTCTCCTATACTTTCTCTCTAGCCCCTGATGTATTAAGAGAGTCACTAAACTCTATAGGCTCTTTATGGCCTATATGTATTGAATGAGTGAAAAGAATTGGTCTTTTCACCAATTTTCACTTTTCACTAATTGGGTGAGGAAGCATCGTACTTTGTGGCGATGGCTGACAACTATTATTTTTTGTCTTCCAGGTGTTTGCTGGCTCTATCAGCACTCTATCACAGGCTCGCGAATCGATTGATTGATTGCCTGGGTTTAACTCTAACTGCTCTTCTGTTCCTACTAACTGTGACCTTGGCCAAGTTACCTCAGTTTTATGACCTATATTATAGGGATATTATAATCTCCTTGCAGGCTATTGTAAGGGTTTAATGAGAGACATGAGTTATAACGATCTGTTCCAGAGCATCTCAGACTCATAGAGCATGTGATAAACCTTAATAGTTGGTTGTACTATAAGCCTGTAAAAGCTCATGAAACTCTCAAAAATTACTGACAAATTTTAATCTGTTGAATCAGGAGAGGGCCCTTGAAGAAATACAGAAAACTATGGAGTTGATAGGAATCTGCAGAAATACCAATGCTTCTTCATATAATTTTAAAGCAACTGCAAAGTGTTCATTTTTATACCTTCCCACAAAGCCAGTGGGATTTATCCAGGGCAGGCCTCCTACTCATGGAGTCAACAAATACATATATTGAGAACTTGCTACACTGGGGATAAAGCCGGGAACAAAATTAATCCCTAATCCTCTGAAGTTACAGTATATGGAGGGAGAGAGACAGTAGATCAATAAAATCACAATATAAGAAATAAACCAGGGACAGGAATTGGGGATGACTGGGGTGGAAGCATTATTTTACGGACGGTGATCCTGGAGGGCCGCAGTGGGAAGGTGACCTGTGTTCAGAAACCTGAATGTTAGATGACTCAAGGGTTTTTGGCCTGAGCAATAGGAAGGATGGAGTTTCCATTTGTTCAGAGGGAGAGATTGAGAGAGAAGATTGGAAAAGGTGGCAGGAGTCAGTAGTTTGGTTTGGGATAGGTTAAGTTGAAAATGCCTAGTAGATCCCCAAGTAGAGAGGACAGAGGCCATCAACCTCGCTCTACAGGTGGGAAATTGTGGAGAGGACCAGCAGAGTGACTTTGCCAGCATCGAATGACAGTTGAATGAAATAGCTAAGATTTAATTTCAGGTGCCGTGGTTTTTGATCTATTAGGTTTCTTATTTATAGCAGGCTGTAATAATAGCATTGATTGGAAAAGAAAGACACAGAAAATGTACCTAAATCTTATTTATTTCTAAGCACGTGTAACTTATTAATACTATTCATTCCTTACAAGGAAAGATTTTTTCTTTGTTAATTTGTTCGTTTTCTTTGTTGTAAGATATTATCTGGGTAAAATTTTTCATATGTGAGTCGTTTAGAAATCAAAGATGCTGGGGTGGGTTTTTTTTTTTTTTTTGGCTTTTTTAGGTGTATGTTATTTAACATTTTAATTATTTTCTATTCCACTTACTGCAAAGTGCCTTTAAGTCCACCAAGAAACCTGAGAATCTCCAATGTTGGCTCTAACAGTGCTCGGTTAGCCTGGGACCCAACGTCAAGAAAGATCAGTGGTTATCGAATTGTATATAACAATGAAGATGGCACTGAAATTAATGAGGTAAGCTGTGGATCACAATGTCTATTTTTTTTTTTTTTTTTGGTGGGTGTATGTTAGCTTTTTATGGCTGCATAACCAATCATTCCCAAAACTGTAGTGGCTTAAAACAATACAAATTGTTTATTTTCTCTCACAGTTTCTGCCAGGAATTAGTGCGTCAACTACTTGGATCTATATTTTTGGCTTGGGGTCACTCATGAGATCATTGCCAGATAGTGGCTGGTGCTGATGTCATCACAACAGCTTTTCATTCAAATGTCTGGTGCCTGGTCTGGGAAGACTGGATCAGCTGGGAGCCAGAGTAGCTCTCCGTGTCTCTAACTAGACTCTTTACATGATCCCTCCAGCATGGCAGTTTTAGGGGAGCTAGACTTGTTACATGCTGGCTCAGGAGTGCCCAAACATATATCCAAAGAGACAAAGAGAAGGAAAGAGAGAGAGCACTAGGTGAAAGCTGTGTCACTTTTAGTTACTCAGAGAAGTCACAGAATACCACCTCCACCACACGCCACTGGTAGGAGATATCACAAGTCACCACATGGATTCAACATGAGGAGGAATACAGGTCCCACCAATGATGAGAGGCAGGCGGGATGGGAGATGTGGCCATCTTTGGAATATATAGTCTGCTCCAGTGCAAGGAGGTAGGGAAGTAGGTATCTTCCTAGATGTTGTAAACTAGAATTAATGTCAGTGTAATCCACTTTATCTCTCTCCTTTTGAGTAAACTACCATCTGAAAGATGCTAGTGAGATGAGTTAAATACAAAACTGAGTAATTCAAGTTTTGTGTAGGAAGATACTTTAAAATAGCAGAACTTACTAGAACTCATGAAGATACAGTATCTTATACTCAGTCACTAATAACTTCTTCACAAATCATAATTTCTCCACAAATTCCTTCCTTGGGAATATATTTTAACAGGATAGATAGCAAAGTTATTATTATTTTTCCTCAACTTGATCCAAGAAGTTAAGACCAAGAGGGAAATATGTTGAATTACATCATTTCTATTTTCTGACCAGATGAAGAAACTATTTTCATTTGCAGAGACAAACTGTTTCCTACAATTAAATCCAAGCAGTATTTTGCAGAATGCCCCCTCACACGGGACATTGGATAATGAAAGCACAATACTGCACATTTGCTAATATTTGGTATTTGTATATATTGTGAAATGATCAGCACAAGAAATGTACTTAACATCCATTAAAAAAAATTATAGCTGTTGTGGCCTTTTATGGTATTTTAGGTTATTTGCCATTATAAAGAATGACCCCAGACTAATATATTTGTTGAGAACTACATGTGGTTTTTTTGTAGTGTTTTTCAATCTTGGAGATGCCTTTGGCACTTGCTATTTCTAATTTGTATTGTGCTGGGAAATTAGAAAACCTTATTTGGTAAAGCTGAATTTAAAACATGAGAAAATGGTCTATGAATGAAAATCTGAGAAAATTTTATTTGAGTAAAATACGTAAACAATATGTGGCTTTGTAGCATTTCCAATTTGACTGGTGTGTGTGTGTGTTCTTATTTCTTAATTCTTAACCATGCCATTGAGACTGAATGTTGCTAGACAAATGTCTTTTGTTTAAGTGTAACATTACTTTGCCTAATTTTGGAATATATGATTTTAAGCGTGAGTATTCCTACTATATTTTGCTTTAACTTGTGTTAATTAAGCTTTTATTTATAGGCAATACTACAGTTGGGTTTTTAGGAAACTTCCAAAACATTTTGGAATGAACTTTAAAATGTCCCAACCAAAATCTACTTAGTTATGTAACCTGCCATTGATCATAAGCTTTTGCTTTTGACTCAATTTATATTTCTCTGATTTACTTCCTGTTCCTCCCATCTTCCCTCCTTCACTTCCTCTTTTTCCCTTTTGTCTTTTCTTTATTATCCTTCTCTCCAACTGCTTGGAGACCAAGGAAGAAAAATGAAACAGGGCACCCAAATGTCAAGGGTGATGGTGGTGATGGCAGCTAACCTGTGTAGAGTGCTTACCTTGAACCAGCCACTGTTCTGAGAGTTTACAGAAAGCCCCTCATGCAACCCTTAGAGAAAACATGCTGAAAACATGGCTTGTCAGCTGAGGACAGGGCCATCTCAGAGAGCATGTGCTGGGAGAGGATTTGGGGAAATGTGCAAGCAGGATGGAAAACTAAAGTGCTGCCATTTGAGTTTTATAAATGAAAGGCCAGTTTTTAGACTCAGACGCAAGTCCAGTTCCCGACAGCTATGACTCAATAAGAGAGCCCAGAGCGGAGCCCAGTCCCTTGTTCCTCATCAAGGACTCTTTATCCATCCCAGAATTAGACTGAAATTGAGCTTTTAGTCCAGACTGTTTGAAAAATTTTCAAAAATAGTTATATAACCATGAGATCATGGTCATTTGTTATCATTTTCTCAAATTCTTCTCCTACATCTTAAAAGTACTACCAACAAAATCAGTTCCAGAACTCAGTCTAAAACATAATATAAATAATAAAAATAGATGACACCTTAAAGTTTTCATTTGATGGAATAAAATAATCAGTAGTTAATGCATAAAATATGGTCTGTTCAAAGTCAAATAATGCTTTAATAAATAAAAGAGATCTTTTCAACAGATATATATATATATATGTTTCAACATGTATGCTGAAAAGATATATACTTATATACATATGTGTATAAATATATATACACATATATAAAAGGGGAAAACTGTATGTGTATATACACACTTTTTCCCTTTTTGTCTCTTGGTGTACCAAAGAAAGTTTGATTTTTAACTGCTTTGTGTATGTTTGATATCTTCATGAAATGCCTATTTGTCACAGATTTGGGACTTAGAAGTCAAGGCATAACTACCCATTCCAGCTAATAGATTTATGTCCTGGAAATTAGTTTAGGTCTTTGGGCCTCCCATTCCTTCTTTGTAAAATAACTATTATAAATACCTAGGGTTTGGTGGGGGGAAGAGGGGGCTAAACATGACAATGAATGTGAAGTCCTTGACATGTTGTAAGTGCTCAGTAAACCCAGCTATTATAATCCAAGACAACAGAGGCAATATGTAAATATCATTTAGAAGAACATGTCTTGAACTCCTATTTAAAATACGGATTTGTCTTTTCTGTGAGTTTAATGAAGCCATACTGTGCATAGGATTTTGAGTCCTGTAAAATACTTGTGTTGACGCACTGGGTACTAGCTGGTTTTCCATTGGGCAAGTTCCTTAATTTTTCAGAGTCTCAGTTTCACCGTCTTCAAATTAAGGGTAATAATTAGCTACTCTACAAGGTTGTGGACTACTGGTTAAAGGAACTAATACACAGGAAGCATACAGACAATACCTAAACCAAAGTAAACATTAAATGCTAAGAATGACCTATAATATTATCAGGCCCAGATTCAGAAGAAGATAATCAATATTTTCAGTTCACTCCTGTAACTAATACCCTGGCTTAAAATAATAATCCATGATTATGCAACCTGGGCAGAGCTCAGCAAGGACAGCTTGGCTCTGCTGATCCATGTGGTGTCAGCTGAGGTGACTCTTGCATTCATGAGGGAGCTTGACTGAGCCAGAACTTCCAAGATGACTTCACTTCTGTGTCTGGTATCTCAGCTGGGGTGGCTGAGGTTGGTTGGCCTTCTTTAGCAAAGTGGCTAAGGGTTTCAAAGGGATGAAAATGGAAGCTCCTTCCCCCAAGACTCACACTCTCTTTTTTGACCTGCAGTTGATTTCTTAGCGATGTATATGGTTTCTGGATTGCTCTGAGTTCTAATGAGCCCTTTATTATCTCTCTTAAAAATGATCTTTGATGCCTCCTTTATTCACTCAAAAACAAATATAATTCAACATGCAGTACTGAAGAAGCTAAACAAGGTCCTGTTCTGGAGGGGCTTACCCTCTACACAGGAGAAAATAAATATATAAAATAATCACAGGCTGTGTTTGGTGCTGGGAGGAAACAAACAAAGGCAGTGTTAGGGGATAACCCTACTGAGGTAGGTGACAAGAGAAACCCCCTGTCAGGAGGTAAAAGTTAAGCACAATCCTGAGAGATGGCAAAGTCTAGTTCTGAAAAGAGCTAGGATCCCAAAAAGCATGAATTGCATGTGCAAAGGCCCTGAGGTGGGAAAGACATGGACTTTTGAGAGGTCAGTGTGGTTGGAGTCCAGTGGGTGATTCAAATTATGGCAAGAAAAAGGAGCACTGCTCCAGATTATGCAAGACCAAGAGGTCATCGCAGGATGCTTGATTTTGATTCGGAAGGCAACAGAGATAGCCAAGGAAAGTTTTAAGTAGGACAGTGACACATTTTATATTTTGGTAAAGGTCACATTGACTGCCGTGAGCAAATCCATACAGTAAGCTTAGTCACCTTCCCCTTAACCTCAGGTGCTATCAAGTTTAGTCATTGATAGTATTGTAAATAATGGATCTTATTGATATTGCTCTAAATACCTCTTGAAAACATTTTATATGGTATCTTTTTTTTGGCAGAGTCTGCTATCAGGTAAACAGGTTCATTTCTTCCATTCCTCAGCGTCTTATTATTAAGTGCCTATAAAGGTGAAGATTAGAATTGTATAATACAGAAGCTGACTGGTTCTAGAATTCAGTAATATTTTTGAAGTCTTTATAGCTTTGCTGCCAGGCGCAGTAAACTACAGACAATAAGAAAATGCCTTCTGTTTCATGTGTCTGGAGAGTATCGGATGTAGCTGGTCTGACTTCTCTGTTTTGCAGGTTGAAGTCGATCCTGTTACTACCTTCCCTCTGAAGGGCTTGACACCGCTCACAGAGTACACTGTGGCCATTATCTCTATCTATGATGAGGGGCAGTCGGAGCCTCTGACTGGAATTTTTACAACAGGTAAGCCTTACTACGGTTTGGAAGTTTCCAAGAGTAACTATATAGAAACCAGAAGCTGGAGCAGCTTCCTCAACTATGATTTTGAAGAGATTGCATTTTGATCTTTGTTTGTGTTGTATTATTATTATTTTTAAAGATTTATTAGAGAGAGAGAGAGCACACGTGCTCATGTGTGGGGGGGAGGGGCAGGGGAAGAGGGAGAGAGAGAATCTCAGGCAGGTTCCCCACTGAGCACGGAGCCCAAGATGGGGCTCCATCTCATGACCCTGAGATCACGACCTGAACCAAAACCAAGAGTTGGGCGGTTAACCGACTGAGCCACCCAGGTGCCCCTACGTTGCATTAACAACTGAACAATTAGGTGACTAGAATGTGTACTGCTTAATTATTTTCTATCAAAGCAAAGGAAAGAGAGGAAAGATCATCTAAATTCAAAAGGTCCCAGTTAAGTAAATGTGTGTACTCTTCTATTCCTAATCTTACACCATTTCTTTTGTTCTATGGGTCTAAAAATTTCACAGCTTTCTTCTGTTTTCATGTGCATGTATGTTAAGTTGAACTTCCAAAATTGCTGACACCCAACAATTTTTTGACCTGCAAGAATGACAGTTTCATGCTATGTAACCTAAAACATCAATCTGTAGCCAATAATGTACTCATGTAGCCTGAAATATTAATACAACAATATGGAATCTTTTAAATACTAAAATAAAAAACATAAGGCATGACTGCATGATTTTCCTTTTCTATATATATTCTGTAGTCAATAAATTCAAAAATTTTTTGCCTCTTGGTGGCAAAAATTCTATTGTTTGCTTTCTGAACTTAACATTGCTTTGCTTGGGAAAACAATTGAGTGCTATACTGAGGACAGGAGGAGCTATTTTGGAGAGATAAGAAATATGCTCCATTGAGAAATAATGTTCACAGAAAAAAGTTCAGTAATTCCACAAAACCTCCTGAGGGCTAACTCCAGTTGGGATTCTCCTGGTGTCCTGTGAAAGAGTTTTAAAATCTCTAATTTCAGGGTGCCTAGGTGGCTCAGTGGGTTAAACGTCTGCCTTCGGCTGAGGTCATGATCCCTGAGTCCATGATCTTGGAGTCCCGGGATCAAGCCCCATGTCGGGCTCCCTGCTCAGTGGGGAGTCGTCTTCTCCCTCTCCCTTAGCTCCTCCCCCTGCTTGTGCTCTGTCTCTCTCTCAAATAAATAAATAAAATCTTTTAAAAAATAAATAATAAAATCTCTAATTTCAAGTAATAAAAATCAATGACTGAGAATGGCTGACACAGTTGGATGTTGGGCTCTTGTACATCCCTGAAGTAGGAAACTGTGGAAGGTTTGATGAATCATTTTTCACTTCTGATGGCACCCATATGTACAAGATTAAAAGGATGTCACGTTCTTTAACTTATTACAAGGGGATGATTTAAGCACAAAAGCAAATAAAACTAAGAGGGACATTTCCCAGACCTCGAGGACACCAATTTGTTAATTTCCTCAACATAATGAGAAAATAGTATCTTGGTAAACTAATGAATAGGACACTCTTACTTTTTATAGTTCGTGAAAAGAGCCAAATAGAGAATCTAAGAGTTCTGGAAATTACTGGAAGACTTTAAAAACTGTGCTGTGTCCATGGTCTTCCTGATTTATACTGTGGGTAAATGCTGGCTGCAGAAACTTGAGGTCCCACTGCGCTGATGGGCATGGCTTTCTCAGCTTCCATGTGCTTTCCTAAAGCCAGGGGTTCCTCAGAGAGCCTTCTTCCCACGGCCCTGGGAGCTGTGTGAGTTTGGCTTCTTTGCCTTCTCCATTCTCTGACAAAGTCTCCTTCCTTGGCTCACAGAGGAGGTTCCAGCCCAGCAATACTTGGAAATCGATGAGGTGACGACAGATAGTTTCAGAGTGACCTGGCATCCCCTTTCGGCTGATGAAGGGCAGCACAAGTTGATGTGGATTCCAGTCTATGGTGGGAAGACTGAAGAAGTGAGTTGTCTGAAACAGACTGAAAAGTAATCTGGAGCATTTTCTCTGGAAGTGAATACCCACTGCACATTTGAGTTGGTCTTCACTTTAGAAGAGATTGAGAATCCCAGAAGTAATTAATATTTTGCCTGGCATGGAGTTTTATAAATGTCAAATCATATGATTTTTCTAAGATTCAAGTGGCATTTTTTTGGCTAGGGCCTTCATCATACATACAATATATTTTCAGGTCCTTTGACTTTCATAAACGACATTGAGTAAAAAAAGCTTCAACTGGTACTTTTGCAATATTAATAGCTTGTTTGTTGAGGGAATGGAAAGGAATTAGGTCTCTGCTTTGAATTTAAAATTGAATTCAATGGCCCTGGAGTTCTTTCTGCTTAGTTGTTTCTTGCTTATGCTAAGGATAACTTTTTTTCCTTTTTATTATTTTTTCTTAACTTTCACTTCTACTCCAGTAAACCCAGTTACTAAGCACCAAATGCTTTTCAGGTTCTCCTAAAAGAAGACCAAGACTCACATGTTATTGAAGGCCTGGAGCCCGGCACTGAATATGAAGTGTCGCTCTTGGCCATACTGGATGATGGGAGCGAGAGTGAGGTGGTGACCGCTGTGGGGACCACACGTAAGTGTCGGTCTGTCTGAGGGGACTTCACCAGTGGCCACCATCCATTCTGATACCCTCCCCCGCCCAACTGGTTGCCTGCCCATCCACCTTATTCCTGCCTACAGAGGCTTCAATTTCTCAATGTCCCCCAGAGTTCTTCATGTGTCCTCACCTTTTTAATGAAACTGCTATGTGAAGCATATGAGAATCCTAGGCTATCACCATAAAGGCAGAGACCGTATCTGTCTTGTTCACCATTATGTCCCCAGCAGTAGCATCGTGCTTGTTATATTAACTGCAATAAATACTTGTTGAATGGATGGATGGATGGGTAAAATAATTTATAAGTGAATAAATGAGTGAACAAATAAGCTGAGGGCAAGCATGTCCAAGAGCTTTTGGAATTTCCCAAGTCAATCTTGGTTCCAAGAATCTTGTATAAAATGCACTCACTGATTTATTCATCCCTTCATTTTTTAAATATGAGGTATTAACCACATACTAAATTTTCTTTGTTGAGGTTGCCTGGAATCAGATTCTGAGACAGAAAATTGCATCCAGAAGGTTAATTGAAGACTGTAGTTGGGGAGATAGATCTGTAAGGAAGTAAGGATGGCAGGATGAGGCATAGGGAGAAGCTAAAACTGAGCCTTTGGCTAATTCCATGAGGAGTTCTGGACCTGGGATGACCCTCCGCAGTTGTCCCAAACTGAGTCAATGAGGCTGAGTCTTTGTATCCCTGCATCTCCAGTATTTGGAGGTGGGCCATCCCGTAACAGAGTCTGTGACCTCAGGGGGAGGCAGTTCCCAGAGCTCTGAGCCATTGGCAGCCAGTATTCCAGAAGCTGGTGATGAATGTGTTGACCCTGAAGAGGGGCTCTGGGCGGAGAATCACACAACTGCTCCAATGCGCTGGTTGCCCAGGGTGAATACAGGACATAGAAAATGCGCTTATTCTCTTCCTTGGTGGTCTTGTTTGGCTGCCCTTTCACAGCGTGATCTACAGCACTGTTTATTTTCCTTTAATTACCGTGGTTATGCCCCATTTCACAGTAACAGGAGGTTTCACAAACTTATATGTGTAATTCAAATGTTTATATAAAGGCTAGTATCTGTGATTAGAAACATTCACTTCTTTGGGGTTCAGTTTCCCTATCAGAAGAATAGATATCACATCTGCTTTATTTACAGCTCATTTCTTCTTTCTTCCAACCAGAGTCAAGGAGGTTGGGAAAAACAAGTGAGATAATATAGGTGAAATTTTCTTTGAAAACTATAAAATGCTATACACAAATGTGTAGTTACGATCATTACAGAATTTTAAAGTACTGAATATTTTTTTAGTTGACAGTTTTTGGACTGAACCTTCTACGACCATAGCCCCCACCAGACCTGTGACGTCAGGTAAGGACAAATAGAATTTGTCCCCATTTACCCATAAGAAAAGTTTGATTTAAACAGAAGTTATGTTGTCCCAGTTTTATTTAGTTTACATTATTATTTAGGAATGGGGCCTTCCAATTCAAATTTTATTCCTTTTAGAACCTCTCAACCTTTCCTTAGCCCTAAATGCCAATGAGTCTTTGGACTTCACTGTGACATCTCTATCTGTTCCATCTTTGTTTTGGGTTCCTATTTAGTCTTTCAGAGAATGTTCACATAGCACATCCCAGGAGTCTACTCCTTCTCTTGATTACAGTGACTTCTATTGCCCTCTGTTGAGAATTACGCACATCGTGGTGTCCTTGCATTTCTGTGGGTAACTGAGACCTGGCTGGTCTAATGGGCTTCCCACCTCAGCTATTTTCTCTTTCAACTTAACTTCCGCCTCCCCCACCCCCATTATGATACACCTTCCAGCTAGCTGTCAGAGTCAACTAGGTGAAACACAAGTTTGATTATACCGCTTTTTTTCCCCCCTAAAGCCCTCAGTGGCTCTCCTCTCCATCACCCATTCATTCATTCACTGATTCATTCATTGTCCAGTTAATCTTCATCGAGCCCTTCTTTAGCACAGTGCCCCAAATCTCTTTATCATAATATCCAAGATCCTTCTGCTTTTCTTCTTGGACTCAACCATATTTTCCAAGCTCTCCCATTTCCTCCTGCCATCTAGAACTCCTAGCCTTGAAGGTGAGACACTCTCATTCCCACTACCTGGTACCCTCCCTCAGTTTTGCCTGCTAAATGTCACTCTCTTCCCTCCTCTGTGACTTTTACTATTTTTGTCAAGTGTTCATCCCTGTATATCTCAAAGGCCTAACACAGTTGGACATAAAGGAAACACTCAGTGAATGTTTGCTGCATGAATGGATGAATGAAGAGAAGAAAGAATCACTGGAGATGGACAGAGTGAAATGAAGTCAGATGGGATAAAGGAGGGAGCCAGCATCTCGGGAGAGGAGAAGGAGTGTGTCAGAGAGCGTGGGTGAAGGGGTTTGGACAGATATCAGAGGAAGAATAATATCCACATGGGCTGAATGGATAGAGGCAGCCATGGTGAGAGATGCGTGCTTTGAGTGACGAGTGTTGAAATAGAAATGAGGGACCAAATGAATAGGATGTATGTTGGATGCTGGATCATACACTGAGGCTGACCCCATCTGGTCCCTCATTTTTGCTTCTCCAGCAGAGCACTGGTGGGAGGTGTTCGTGGGCATGCTCCCCCTGGAGGCTCCCCTTGCCCAAGGACTTCTCCCCAGTTCCCTTTACTGATTATATATATATATATATATATATAGTTTTGAGGGGTCCATAGTCCACCTTGTAAGTATCTCTTAAACTCATTTCTATCTGCTACCTGTAGATATGATGCCCACCCCCACCCCCGCCATTAACCACTAAAGCTTAATTGTTCTTCATATGACTCTACATTAGAGAGATATATTAAGTGATACTTGTTGCCATGTCCACAGATGGTCTCTAGAGCTCATTTTGGGATATGATGGGTTAAAAGTTCTTTAATCCTTGGTTGTGCTTATTCCAGTTTTCCGAACGGGAATCAGAAACCTGGTTGTAGATGACGAAACCACTTCTAGCCTGCGGGTAAAATGGGACATTTCAGACAGCAGCGTGCAGCAGTTCAGGGTGACCTACCTGACTGCTCAAGGGGACCATGTGGAAGAAGTGGTAGGAACGGTCTGTATACGTACAACTGCCTAGAAACCATGCAGTTCCCTGACTAACAGAGCTAATGAGGCTGTCTCCAGAGATCTGTGCAAGCTGGACTGCTCATTTCTTGGTGACTCTACCATCTCCAGAAACTAACGTTTTCTGTTCATGCAGACTTCACTACTGGTTTCTTGATGACCTTTCTATCTCCAAAACTAGCTCCACATACGACTTGCTTCAAATTGAGAAATCTTCTGAACCTTGTCTCCCATGCTGCTTCTGCTGCCCTGACGATTCGTTAGAGCACCAAAGTTGGGTCATACGTCGTCCACTGCATACCATCAGTGTGTGTATATACAGTTGACCCTCGAACAACACGGGTTTGAATTGCGCAGGTCCACTTATATGTGGATTTTTTTTTTTTGATAAATACAATACAGTCCTGTGTATGTATTTTCTCTTCATACACAGTCCTGTGTATGTATGTATGCCCTGTGTATGTATTTTCTCCTCATAACATTTCTTTCTAGCTGACTTCATAGTAAGAATACACCATGTAATACATACAACATACAAAAATATGTGTTAATCAACTTTTTACACAAATCGGTAGGGCTTCTGGTCAACAGAAGGCTATTGGTAGTTAAGTTTTAGGGGAGTCAAAAGTTATACATGGATTTTGGACTGTGCAGGGGCTCACCAGCCCTAATACCTGTGTCGTTCAAGGATCAACCACACACATACAAAAACTTCTAACATATAGACTTTTAATATATACACATATACTAAACTTCTTTGCCCTTGGGAAGATGATTAAAAGTTTCTATGCAAAGAATGCATGAAAGGTTGTCTTTATGTAGTTGAAGTGTTCCTAACAAGATAGCATCCATTAATACATAGTTATGTTTTTCACTGACATCAACTCATTTTCAGCAGTTCTATAATCATTTCTAACTTATTCTTAAATCTGACTATTTCCCTAAGGGGATTTGGATTTTTATATGCTGAGTTTTCTTTGTTTCATCTAATTTGTTTTTCTATATTAGAAACCTGGGTACACTTTGAGTCATGGTCTTCCCGTGTTTTCTTAATTTACACCATATCATTCCTTTTATTCAAGACCCTGAACATTGTTTCCTGGGCATACTTCCTATCAGACCAGATAACTCCAGTTTGCATCTAAAGGAAATTTTTCTTTTTAGTCATGGACTGTGCCTTCTTTAACCTCATTACTTGTATTTCTTGCCCCCTGCTGCATTATTTTGAGACACTCTAGGAAAGACATCTCCAAATTCATTATTGCTCAATGAATAACATTATTATCCTTTGTTCGTCCTCCTTACGTATAAAGCCTTTGATGAAAAATTATTTTTATTTATGTGCTCACATAAACAATTATTTGAGCCTAAAATTGTCTCAGGAAAGTATTTAATTTCAGGCTGATAGAGGACTTGTTACAGAGCACAATGATACCCTTCGGAATAAGTCACGTGCACGGTGAATAACCAGAAGGTCCATGAAATTGGTCTGGGGTACTTTTAGAGGTTGATGGACACTTAAACAAATTAAATTGAGTTATAAATTCACTCAGATCATACATTTCAAATGACCCACAATTGAAAAATTCAAAATAAAATTGTACTAAACAATGGTAACTAGGGACATAATTTGGATGCTTCATTTTCCCTGTTACTGTCCCATATTTTAATTTAGTCCCTAAAAATGAGACCCATAAAAACTTCCCAGAGTAAGAGTTTTGTTTTTTATTTCTACTCTTTCCAAGAAACATATTAAGCTTCTTGCTAAATTATCTTGCAATTTGGAAAGACTAACAATTTAATCTCATGCATGTACTTGTAAGTTATGCAAGGTAAAGTAATAATATTTACTTTGGGTTGTCTCTAGATAATATTCCCTTTGCTAGTTTCTTTCATTTCACACTGTTTATTTTGAAACACTTGGACACCTACATGAAGGAAAAAAAAGACCAAAAGTCTGAAACACACATGTGGCCCCAGTTAAGCAAACCCTTCATAAAAATGAAAAATATTGATAAATTTGGTGGTGATTATTTACTGTGCAGAAGTGTTTTTGCTAAACTGAAGAAAGTACTGTGGAATTTTAAATATCAAGCTCCTCTACCGAATTCCACTTGAATTGGATTTGTACACACTTAATTTACAGGCATATTTTCAGGGACCCAACTGAGGATTAACTGAGAATTTATATCTCAGTGTTTAGGAAATGTTACTTCTACATAAGTGTATTATTATTATTAGAGACAGAAAGTGGGTGCATCTAGATTTAGATTATAAAACAAAAATAGGGTACGCAGTTGCAAATCTGTATCAAAATTCAAAGGCCTTGAACTCCCAACACCAAATGAGTATCTTTAAGAAATAATGCACGACAGAGAAAGGCAGAGAGCTAAAGCACATTATAAAAGTGAGAAAGTTGTGTCAAGATAAGAGAAATGCCTCTTACCGTCTTACCAAATTTTCCTTAACTATAAAAGCTGATTAGATTTGCTTGAGGAAATGATCAAATGAGAGCATCGTATACGTCTGTAACATTAGTAAACAAAGTAAAACTTCAATATATGGAAAACAAGGAGAATTCAATTTCCTTTTCCAATCGCGTAAGTGAAGTATTCATATATTTGCTAAACCTAATCAAATCTACCAAATATTTCCAATAAAGAGTTTTGAACTTGCAGAAAGTAAAGCTACTTGACCGGCAATGACTTTGCCCTGAATTTGTTGTCAGAGTATGGAGGTCTCACACTTCTTTATTTGTGAAAGGCTGATCAGGATTTCAGACTTTTCTAGAGCTGAGATGTCAACATCCATAACCATGACCTGAATTCTGATTTGCAAGAAATGTTCCAGAACACGTATACTCAGTGTGTGGCTCTGTCTCCTACAAGATAAGTTCGGATACTAAGATTAAGCTTTTAGAAACATTTATAGCGATTTGACAATCCTGCAACATCCAAGGACATGATTATTTTTTCCAGAAATTTTGTTTTACTGTATTTTATAAAAATATTAGTCTTCAATAGATTGGAATTAAAATGGCAGCGCCAAATCTACCCAGCCCCCTACCACAGATAGCATTTGACTCACTGTCTAGACACAGTTTTATAAGGTGGGAACACAATGAGATGCAGGGAACCCTATTTCTGCTGATGGGATCCAGGCTGCTCCGAACAGCTTTGGGCAATAATGGAGCCAGACATGAAGTTCCATTTCTAAAAGAAAATTTAAAATGTGAAAGTTCAGTGGTTAGGTTTGCATCTCATTTAATCGTAAGCATCTTTTATAGAATTGTTTTATAAACAAAACTGCCATCTGCTGTGATCTGCTGCATCTGTTTTTAGTAAGAGCCCATCTTTACCCTGCTCTGTGCAAACAAGCAGAGGCCAAGCAGAAGGAACTTTGCATTCCCAAGAGGAGATTTACATTTTATTCTTGGAAATGAATATCATTAGGGTAAAAAGGTTCAAGCGGTGTAGCCACATGGAGCAGGGTGTAGTGGTTAAAGCAAGGCTCAGGCTAGATATCCTGGATTTCAGGATGGCTTCTTTACTCAGTAGCTTGTAGGCCTCAGTTTCCTCATATGTAAAATTCATGTAAGGTTACTCCTTACTTCAAAAGGTTGCTATATTAAAATTCTTAGGGTAGCACCTGGCGCATAGTAATTGCTGGGTAAAAGATGACTATTAGTATAAACCACAGCAACTACTTCCTAACAAGCTGAGTGATTCCTCTAAAACGGCTCTACTGCTTTTCAGAATTCCACCGTCTAAATGTGATTGGTTCCAAGCCCATGCATTTCTCAGTTTGAAAGATGACCTTATTTAAGGAGTATCAACATAGGTGGTTTGCTAAACAGACAGCTTGGACTGAATGCCCAGGCTCTGTGTTTCAGAGGAGTTCTATTTAAAAGAAGTGCCCTGAAGGAAGCTACATTGATGGGGTAATGCAAGTCAGGGCAACCCCTGTTCTTCCTTTACCTGTCCTTAATGCCAGGCTTATTTAACTCATTCGAGAATAAAGCAGAGCTCTTTAAAAAAAAAAAAAAAAATCTTCCTCCCGGATCCACATCCATACAACCCTGTAGTATATTTCAGTGTCCCTTTCATCCAAGGAGTAAAATCATACTAATTCAATATAAAATCACCTAATTCAGACTTCCTTGTTAACAGTATATTTTAGAAAATTGCTTTTAGAGCTTAGCAGTACCTTAGCAACAGCTGCTTCTGGGTTCAACTCGAGGCTTCCTAGGGCTTATTCCATGATTTATAGGTCTCTTCCCTCATCCAGAAGTGGACAGCACAGCCCTTTGCCTGCTGGCATTCTACCCAGCCCTTGAGTCAGAAAGCATCTCCAGCTGTCCCAGTCTTGTGACTCTTTTAAACACGTTTGGGTCAGTTCTTAGATCTTACTTAGCATTTTTCCAGCCATGATTAAGTTCCTCAAATGGCCCAGAGATGTGCCAGCATCTGACTGCAGAAGCAGAGGCAGAAAGTCTTGTGGTTTTAACATTGAGAACATGTGGCTTTTCTGGTCCATATGCTCTTTGGGGGGACACCAGAATTTACACTACTGAGCCACGTGGCGTTACACCAATGCTTGTGCAGTGTGGACCTCACCCCTGCATTTCCGTTTTTGTAGCCTTGAGAGGTAGAGTGATGGTGATTTCAGATTGAGGAAGACATCTCCTTTTAGAAATAAAAAAGCTGCCTCAGTTTTTAGTCCTACTGGTAACTCTGTTTTGCTCTGGAAAATGAGGATTTAATGTGTGGTTCTGTTGTTCTTGGCTAGTTTCCATTCTTTTCTAAAGGTCTGGGATTGGATTATGTCTGAGAGAGTAAAGAATGGAAGGCTGAATTTTCAAGAGGATACTTAAGTGGAATAAAAAATGATAAGCAGGCTGGGTTATGGAATGAACCCTCCTAAGCTATAAATGCCTGCTTTCCAAAAAATGATGATTCTCACTTCTGGGTACTTTACAAATGCTGAAAAGATGTTGAGAGAAAACTATTCATCAGAGCCTAATTGCTTCAAATTTAAACCTGCTTTAGAGGTTATAAGCTGAGGGCTGCTGTGAGGGGAATTCCAGAGAGAAATGCTTTTGCATGCATGCCTCTTTTTCTCAAGCACATTGCCTTGCTTCTGATTATTTCCAAGTCCCCATGGTCCTGCTCCATTAGTAGACCAGCAGGAATAAAGGTCTTAAGTAGCACCATGGTCCTTTGTTTTTCTCTTCAGGTTATGGTGCCTGGAAGCCAGAACAATCTCCTTCTGAAGCCTCTGCTTCCCAATACTGAGTACAAAGTCACGGTGACTCCCATCTACGATGATGGAGAAGGTGTCAGCGTCTCTGCCCCTGGAAAAACCTGTGAGTGAAGCCTTCTCTCTGTGCCTACTAGCTGACTAATTAATTGAAAATACCCATCCCCTGCAATGTGCCCCGAAAGCCACAGTGGAGTGTGGTGAAAAGAGCAAAAGAGATTGAGAGACAGAAAAATCTGAATCCTGTCTCCACCCAGGCAAGCTGTATGGCTTTGGGCAAGGTGAGCAAGCTGCTCTGGGCTTCAGTTTTCTCGTGTGTAAAAGCTAAGATTTAACAAACTACGTCTTCCTCTCCAACATCTAATTCATCACAAGTCCTGTTGATTCTCCAAAATGTGTTCTGCGGGCCAGTCCTCTTTTGTCTTCATCTGACGGCTCTGCCCTGATCCACACCTCACTCTCTGTCACTAAAATGAGTGCTTCCACTCTTTGATCCTTCATTCTCCTCCCAGCAGCCTGAGAAGCTTCTCAAAATACCAATCAGCTCATGTCAGACCTCTGTGTCAGGTCTTCCAATGGCCTTCCATTGTACTCAGGATAAAATCCAGCATCCTTCCCGTGGCCCTACAAGGTGCTCTAAGACCTGGACCCCACTAATTTCCTTAATCTCACCTCCTAACAAGTGTCCCAGCCGTACCTCCTTTCCTGCTCTTCACTGGACATTTTAAGCTTGTTCCTGCCTTAGAACCGATGTACTATTCCTCCCATACAGAATATCCTTCCCCAGATGTCTGCATTTTGGGCTTTTTCTTGCCATTTTGGTTCCAGCTCAAAGTCACCTCCTCAGGCTTTTCTGACCACTCCATGCAAAGGAGCTCCCACTCTCTAAGCTCTCAACCTGTTCTTTGGTTGTTGTTTTGTTGTTGTTGTTTTATCATGTTATGGCACTAATGACTACCTGATATTTTCCTGTTTACTCATGTATTTGTCTATTGTCTGTCTCCCTCCCTTGGAGAGCAGCATCACGAGAGGCCAGAACCTCATCCATACTGTTTGCCTTTTCATGAAAAGCTCCTACGGTGCTGGGTGGCTCAGAGGGGGCATCACTCAGTGTTCCTTTTGGGTGACTTGGCCATGACGGTCAAGCAAGGAGCATACCCCAAGAAGCACACCATTGGTTAAAGGCACTACAAAGTCTTAGCTGTTTTCATTGCTGTCTGGTTGTCTGTATTTGCATGAACTACCTCAGAACCCAGTGGCTTCAAATAGGAACCATTTTATTCTAGTGCATGATTTTATAGGTCAGGAAATTAGGCCAGGCTTGCTGGAAATTCTCCTCCATGTGGTATGGATTAAGGTCACCTGGTGGCTGGGTTGGTCTAGAGCATCCAAAACAACTTTACCCACATGTCTGGCTGGCATGTTGGTGGGGACACTTGGAAGACAGGACTCAGCTGAGCCTCTCTCTTTCCATGTGGTCTCTGAGCCTCTCCATGGACTGTTTCCAGCAGGAGAATCATAGTTCTTATGTGATGACTCAGGACTCTAAGAGCAAGAGTTCCAAGAGGTGGAAAGTGGGAACTGTCATGACAGTTAAGGGCTATGTTTGGCCCTGGTACAGAGTCACTTCTGCTGTAGTCTGTTGGGTGAGGTATTCATAGAACCCACCCAAATTCAAAGGGAGGGCCATAGCCTCCACCACTCAATGGGAGGAGGGTAAAAATCCTGCACCCATCTTTAATCCACCACAATTACCAACCAGTTATGTATGACTGGGTGCAGAATGGTGGCAAGGCCTGAATTCTGTAGTTGGGCACTTAAGTGTGACTTTTTCAAGTAAGTATACAAGTCCTGAAAATTCTGTAGCTGCTGGTTTAAAATAAGCACAGTGAATTCTGTTGTTCTGAGTTGGTTTTGGATTATTTTTAACACTCAAATATTCTATAAAGTTACTGTAAACCCTGCCACTGTGGGGAGGGAGGGAAAGGGAAGGAAGGGAGGTGGTGGGAAGGCAATTGGGCTCCATCTAACTGCTGCTGACCTGGACTCAAAGATCTACTTTTAACTGTCCTATGTTAAAAATTAGCATAATTTGTAAAAGACTTTCATGATGAGCAAATATATGCACTCACACAAATAGAAACCATTTAAAGACTTAAATCTTATTGCAGAAATACCACCACATATAACAATTATCTGTATAGTAGAATTATTTCAAGGTGTTAGTAGATGATCTTCCTATTATAAGCAATAGTCAACACAGCTACATTCCATCAACAGTAACAGAAATGATGATAGTATCTGTCAATATGCACAATGGTTTACAAAGTTTCTCCATATAAATGGCTCAATGTTTTAATAAAAAATTGGTAAACAATAATATATAGTTTTGAACAATATAGGCAATATGAAGATGAAAGCAAAAAAAAAAAAAAATTACCAGAATCTTCCCTCCTGGAGTTACCATCATTACCATGGTGTGAGCACCCTGGATATTGCTGTACAAACATACTTTGATAGTGGAACACAGTGGTGTATAGACAGAAATGTTTAATAAACATTATTCGATTCAGTTTTACTCAAAATAAACTGAAGAAAAAAGAATGAGAATGACCTTGAATGAACTACTGATCTTCACATGAAAGTGTTTCACCACAAGAATTAATCTTCTGTATATTTAATTTTTAGAACAACCATAGACTCTCAAAATCTCACTGTGTGTTTTAATACATTTTTACTGGTAAATATTTTTAACATTATGGGAAGCTAGCTTAGATTTTGTTAACAGTGTAGTTTGTAAAGATGGAAACTACACTAAACCACTGGTTTTCCTTTTCTCTGCTCAGTGCCGCCCTCTGGTCCCCAAAACTTACGGGTCTCAGAAGAATGGTATAACAGGTTGCGCATTACATGGGATCCCCCATCTTCCCCTGTAAAGGGCTATAGGATTGTCTACAAACCTGTTAGTGGTAAGTAATGCTTTGTAAAAAAATATTGTTACCATGATTAGGGATCTGAAATGGTTTTCAAGATAAGTTATTTTTGTTTTGATTTTTTTATCTTTGCTTTTATCTTTAGTTTTGAGAAGTGGGAAGGGTCTTACCTTTTTTGAAAAAAAATTTTTTTCCTTGTATGATTAGTGTTAGGATAGATGTTATCAGAACAATGATGTTATGACTCCACCTAAAAAATGATTGGGCATATTTATGAGCAGAATACACACTTGCTATGCACCTAACCTAGGCGCACCCCAGACAAGGAGCCAGCCGAAGGATGCCTTGACTCGGTAGGAGTAGGAAGCTTCTATGGCTCAGTGGATATATAAGCCCTAAACATTCAGAATCTCTAATTTCTAATTCCTCTTCTATCTCTTCTTGGAGTAGTAGGAAAAAGTTGGTTTACCAACTTTTTAGTCTCTTCATTTTGGAAACTGTATTGGAAACTGTGTAAAATTTGGAAACTGTATAAATTTCATCAAAGCCCTAAGCTTGTGGTTGTAAAATGCTTTTCCATCAGCCTCTAAGCCACCTGGATGAGGAGATCTCTCTCCCTCCTTACCTGCCACATCTTTCCATCCTGAAAGCGGGAGAATGGCGCAAACAGGGGCAATTATGGCCTTGGTCCAGATGTCTGGAGAGATGAGGCACCTGTTACACCATCAACTCCTAACATTAAACATTTCTGTGAAGTTTAAACAGGAAACTAAAAATAGATATTAGAGGGGTCTTGTCCATTTTCTGGACTTGGGCCTTCAACTCTGATTATTCATAAGAAAGGGGTTTTCTAATTATGTTTACTGATTTGGCAAGAAAATTTAAAGAGTATTCTTCCAACCATTAAAAACTTCTTTCTGCCTTCAAAGAGCACATGAGGCTCAATGTGTCATCTGAAATGTTGCTCTTGCCTCTGGAACACTTTTCAGCTTTTTCTATTGTGTTCTATTATCCAGGTCCATACAAGTAAAATACCCCCACCTCCAATTTCTCCAGACATCTCTATGAACTGAAAATAAAATAGCAAGAATATACCATGGATGCACACTGGCTTGCTCAAGACTGATTCTTTGCGATCCATCACCAATTTTGTGCTTGGTTTTCTTTAGGCCTGAAGCATGTGTTAATTCATAAAACAGACTTGCTAGATTCGTTCTTTGGACCATTTTGTAAATATCAGATTTTCTGAGGGAAAATAGCTTTGTTTTAGGCCGGTGATTGTCAATTGATACAATTTTGCTGCCCAACAGAGAGATTTTTGATTGCTACAACTTGGGAGGATGAGGGGTTGCTATGGGCATCTGGCAGGTACTGTTAAGCATCTTACGAGTCACAGTACCTCCCCCTGCCCCCTGCCATCCCAGAATTAAGAATTATCCAGCCCAAAATGTCCATAGCACTGAGGTTGAGAAATCTTGCTCTAAGTTAAGTGGAAGAATTGTATGTGGTCATTAGAGTTAAGATTTTCGTGCATGAGAAAGTCACTCCTGAGATAACATGTACGTATAGAAATATATAAATACGTTGTTGGGAGGGGGTTCTGAAGTAAAGTAAGGAGTATTTTAGGAACTTGTTAGTAACTCAGAACTCTTAAAGTATGAGCACAGATGGGAAAACACAGGAGGTAAATAAGTTTGTATAGCAATGTTTTTAATGCTAAATCAAAGACTCCACTGGGCTGAGAAAGAGGTGAAAATGTAAAGACACCGAAGAAGCCAACTGGTCAAGGGCCTTGGAATAATAGTGTCATCTGTCTGTTCTTAAAAATGCTCAGAGGAGGGGATGGGACTGGTAGTGGTGACATTTATGCTGGACCCCCATGTGGCAAGGTATAGCACAGCGTCCAAGGTAAAATCTGCTGCTCCTGTCTCTTGCGTGCCTGCCGGAGACAAGGTTGGGTGTCTGAGAAGGGACAATTGAGAATGACTTCTTTAGTTTGGCAAGTGCCCCAAAGCCTGCAAAGCCTGTGGCAATGTAGTAGCTCCACTGTGACAACCTTACAATATGGCAGATGGTGGATTGTGAGGTGGACCAGCTTCTCTGAATAAGCACTAGGGAAAGAACTGTATTTGAGGGAAAGGACTAGATCCCTAAAAAAAGCCCTAGCGTGGTAGTCAGGTATGTCTGTCTCAGAGCCAGATGGGGCTAGGTTCAAACCCCAGCTCTGCTGTTTGTCTCCTACGTAATCCCGGGCAACTGAAACACTGTCGAACCAGTACAATTCCCATCAGGAGTGTTTCCGTTTTTCCATATTCCGGTGTAACTGAAATCACTCTTTCTCCCTTAGTTGCTGGCCCGACCCTGGAAACTTTTGTGGGAGCTGACATTAACACCATTCTTATCACAAACCTCCTCAGCGGAATGGACTACAATGTGAAAATATTTGCCTCCCAGGCCTCAGGCTTCAGTGACGCTCTGACGGGCGTGGTGAAAACATGTAAGACTGATGTCCCGTTGCCTCAGCCCCTGCATGTGGTTTTGCTGCTTTGTTTTCACTGTAACTCAACCCCTGCTTCAACTTGGCGGTTGGTTTTTGTTTTCCTCAGCATTGCCCTTTCTGGATGGTGTTTCATGGAAAGAAAGGTGTGCTCCTCGCTCAGGGCTGTAGTTCAGCGTCCTGGTTGGCAAGCTGAACGTCAGAACCTGGCATTCAAATATACTTGATGGTGGCAGATAGGATTTCCTTCTGGAAAGTCTTTGTTGGCATTTTTCACATTAGGTGAAATTTTCCAACCAGCCTGTAGCCTGACATGGCCAACGCCAGTCAAAGTTGGGCTGGAGGGGGTTGGGGGTGGGGGAGGTTTGCCTTTTCTCAAAGTCTTTGCCCCTCCCCCCTTATGTGAACACACACACACACATGCACGTGCATGTGCGCACACACACACACACACACACTTGCCATCCATAAAAGATACAAAAAGGACTTTCTTCTGTACCTTTTAAGGGTTTTCATGCTGTCTGCATACCATCTGGGACTTCTCATTGGCATATACCACTTCCAGACAGCCATGGTATAAGGCAATGTTTTCCAAACTCCAGCACGTATGTTCCATATTCCTCATGTTTGTTATCCTTCCATGCCATCTGTTTAATATATTTCTTTAAATCGACTTACAATTTTTTTAACTTAAATACTTTTCAAAACCCACGTAATTATCCTAATACACATTAAAGATAATACATAAATAATGAAAATAAACATAGTGTGGCTATATGCTAATTCAAATCATGCTGAGTGCTCTCAGCTGTGCGAGCCCCACGCCTGAGAAGGATAGTCAAAAGTAGAAGTCTTAAATCTGCCACTTACTAGCTGTCACCTTGAGCAAATGACTTAACTTCTCTGAGCTCAAGTTTTCTCAACTCTAGAATGAAGATAATAGGCTAATTGTGAGGCTTGTGGAAATAATGGGTAAAATGTCTGCCCTATGGCAAGCACTAGTGAGTAACCGTTATTATTATTGTAATAATTGTGCTTTATACCCTTGGCCCATAAGTCACTCTCATCCCTCATCAAATAATTTATCTGATGAATAGAATGTTGCAAGAATGGGGCATATATTAAATCAGACCCCAAGCCACCTATTCTGGCCACCTACATGTTAGATAGGGCCAGGCTTTTCACTAGAGGAGGCTTCCTGAATCTTTTTGCATGGATTATCTTAAGACCTTAAGGGCTGGATTACAGAATCAATTTAATCTCAAAAGACATAGTCTGTCTTCAATGGATCTAGGAAGATGTTGGCCTGTGGTTCTGATCTTGTACTTGGCTGGTGCAGTGATGCCATTCTGGGCACTAGGGTAACCTCCAAGGGATTTTCCTGTTGTTCTGTTATAGCAATCCCACTGTCCTACCTTAGGAGCCCCCTAGACTCCCCTGCACATTTTCCCTCCCCCTCTCTTCCCTTCATTGGCTTATCTTCATTTTCCTCTCTAGATCACTCCTCTCAGGGCCACTTTTTCTGTCTCTGTGATTTTTTTCTTGGCCTCTCTTTTCCATGCTCTGTCTTGTGTCTTTCTATCCTTTTTTCTCTGCTTCTCTTCTTCTGTCCCATTACCTCTCCTCTCCTTCAATAAATACGTTGGGTATTCCAAATACATCTTAAAAGAGAGTATTGACTCCTTTCTTGCTGCTTGCTGTGCCGGCCGCGCGCTCCCGTGCGCCCCCCGGAGCCATGCCTCGCAAAATTGAGGAAATCAAGGACTTTTTGCTCACGGCCAGGCGAAAGGACGCCAAATCCGTCAAGATCAAGAAAAATAAGGATAATGTGAAGTTTAAAGTTCGGTGCAGCAGATACCTTTACACCTTGGTCATCACGGACAAGGAGAAGGCAGAGAAACTGAAGCAGTCCTTGCCCCCAGGTTTGGCAGTGAAGGAGCTGAAGTGAACCTGGCCCACTGATTTGAACTGTATTAAAGTTTTAAAAATTCTAAAAAAAAAAAAAAAAGAGAGAGTATTGAATTGTTTTATATTCTGTCCTTAAAGTAAAAATTAGATGGGCATTTTATTTGTTTTCTCTCTTTCTCCCAGGCAGAGTAAAAGCCCATACAATGCAAATAAATTAATTTAAGGTGTTTGTTAAATTTAGTGTGGTGACATAAATCATCAATGATTCCCCCCCCCCTTTTTTTTATGGAACAAGAACGCTTATTTATTAAGCATTGGGAAAAGAGGTCTTCTCTCGGATTTAACAGAAAGGAACAATGTGAAGATGTAAATTTTGACTAGACAAGATTATTTTTACCATCTTGAAAAATCATTTTAAACTAATTTTGTGATATGAGGTAGTGAAGAGAGAGGGAAAAACAAGAGAAAATGATGTGGACAAAAGTCAGAGTTCATTAAAGAAAGTAAATATTAATTTTCTACTTTTTCTGCTTGAGTCTAAATGATAAACACCAGATATTTACCCCTTTCTTGTATTGGAGAAACACTAATTTTATTGCTTCCCCCAGATAACCTTTCTGTGAATCATTTTTGTATATCAGTGTTCTGTGATGAATAGGAATCTGTGTATTTGTTTTTTATAATTTTAAATGCATTAAATCTTTCATTTTTACATTTTCAAAAACGTGTTCACCTCCTTCAATCATGTTTTTGAAGGCCAGTCCTTATGAAACTGCTCCTGTTTGAGTAAGACTTCCCTTTTGTCAATTTTTTTGTCCCTTTTATTGAAGCCAAGGCCATCTTTCAGTGGTTGATAAGTGCATATTGTATTTAATTTTTTTATAAAAGTATTATATATTAATTGTGGAATACTTAAGAAAACACAAATAAATAAAGAGGGAAGATTAAAAATCACTCAGAATTTCACCATCCATTACATCTGGTCTTTTCCCTGTGAACAGATGTTTCCTTTTTTGTTTACAAGTATCAAACAGACCATATTATCCATAATGTTTTGCACCTGCTCTTTCCAGTAATAAAATAGTTATCTTTTGTGCACTAATTTATTGAGTTGATGGATTTCCCACCACTGGCTATGGGAATTCTAATTCTTTGAATTAGAATTTTATTGTGTTAAAGTTCACTTCAGACTTGGGGACATTTATGGCATTGTCTGTAGCATGACATAGGTGTGTTTCTATTTCATTCTAGTGTTCTTGGGTGTGACCAATCTTCAAGCAGACCAGATTCAAATGACTAGCTTGTGTGCTCGGTGGCAGGTGCATCGTCATGCCACTGCCTATAGGGTGGTTATAGAATCACTCCAGGGTAAGTGCAAGCCTGATTTTGTCAGGCACTCATGTACTTGGTTCTGTGTAAATCTCTGTGGACAACATGTAGGTAACATTAGACCAGAGCCCTCTTCTTGAGGAGGTGACGTTATATTATGGATCGTGCAGGATATGGAGTCAAAATGGCAAGTTAAGCCAATTCTTTAACCTCTCCAAATGATCATTTTCTCATCTGTTTAATGGGTATAACCATGCCGATCTTGTGGCATTCTGTGAGGTTTAAGCTGAGATAAATCCACGTGAGACATTTACAACAGTGCTGTGCACACAGTAAGCTCCAGAGAAATGTTAGCTCTTACTGGTAATAGGAGACAAACAGCCAGGACTAACACATAGTAAAATTATATGGTGCTATTATTTTGGCATTTACTCCATGGGGATCTCAGTTTGCCTTTAATGTTTTTTCTTACTGACTCTTTTCATTGTGGGGGATAGTTGGTGAACAACAAACTCGTTCAGGAGATGGTTTAATATATCTATGCCATCATAGGCAGGTTTTTCAGTATTACCATTCTCAAGTACATCCACAGTTTGGGACTTAGTTTCAAAGTTGAAACACTAAAAATGTATGTTTATTTCAAGTAAAAGTTTCAAGAATAACAACAAAAGGCTGATTCCCAAAAAGTGAGTTTCTAGGGACTGTTAATCCTGTTTTCACATTATCAGCTTGGATAATACTCAGAAGATGAGATCAAATAATGAAAAATACTTTGATCTGATTTGTATTTTTTTTAAGATTTTATTTATTTTTTTGACAGAAAAAGACACAACGAGAGAGGGAACACAAGCAGGGGGAGTGGGAGAGGGAGAAGCAGGCTTCCCGCTGAGCAAGGAGCCCAATGTGGGGCTCTATCCCTGGACTCTGGGATCATGACCTGAGCCAAAGGCAGACGCTTAACAACTGAGCCACCCAGGCGCCCAGTCTGATTTGTATTATCAGTAGAAAAGATATGTCTTGTTATTTGGGGGAGACTTTAGGAGACAGTCTTTTAAATTTGGTAATAAAATTGGTAAAAAAAAATTTCTTTCTGGACAAACGATCATGATTTTCTCATTTTAAAAGTAGGAGCTAATTTTGGGGGTCTGAATGGGACTGGGCTTAGTAGACCATATCTTGGGTATAACTACATCCAAAGTGCAGAAATCTCACTTTTGGTCTAATCCAGAGAGTGGAAAGCACAGATTAGTAGAGCAGTGAGGGCATTTGGAAATACAGGGAGAATGTGAGAATAGAACATAAGCAACACGAGAAGAGACTCCTGCCAACTCCAGCCAAGACAGTGTCTCAACAGACATGCTAAGCCACTAATTCCTTGATCCCCTGTGTGTGATCCTATAAGGATCCCTTTAGCCTGGCATGACTAAACATATGGGAGTGGCTTTATTCTGGAATAAATAGTGAGTAAGGAAAAGTCAGGACAAGTCATATGGATTTCACGGTTGTATTTAATATGATTTATGGGATGTTTAAGCAAAAGCACATGAAAGCCATGCAATTGTTTGAGAAACAAGTATAAAATCTTGAGGAGTTATGTTTCATATATCTTTATAAAATGAGTTAAGTCACATTTTCATTAGAAGGGTTGACATTTAGTGGTATTTGTTAGGCTTTTAAAAAAATACTAAGGATAAAAATCACACTCCCAAACTATCCCACAATTTTTTTTAACCTTTTATATCATTTAAGAAGTTGAGATGAAGGGACATAGGCTCCTATGGATATTCATTGCCTTTCATAAAAATTATATAGACTGACAAAAAGATCAAAACTGGATTTATCAGTGGAATTAGGTAACTCCATAAGTCTTTTTTAAATTAAATATCTTTAGCATATTTGCAAACTAGCACTGGGATTTTTATCAAATCATATCAATGTGTCTGATAACATTGATCTGGTAGTCTAAAACCTCAAAAAGCTCTTTCTGAAGCCAAGACCTTTGTTAGCAAAAAAAATATGAGTCTACATTTCCTTCTTATCTTCAAGAGAAGTTAACTTGTACTCCCTCAGTACAGCCAAATACCTCTTCAACTGAGCCTTGATAGCCTCAATTAAACAAGAATGAACAAAGTGTTGCTCAATTGATTTTTCATCAACATTTATAGCTGGGAGACTTATGAGCCCAATTAGCTTACGTCTCATTCATCTAGTTGTCTAACTGAATAATATTAATTAACAGACAGCAACAGTTTCTAATTCACAGCCTCAAAGAGGAGTGTTGGGGGTGGGGAGGGAGCGTGAGGCTAGAAGTAGGGAGTATGTTTATTTTAATATATAGTTTAGATCAAGGCATAGTCTTCCTACGCTAGAGTAGGGAAGAATTAGGTTGTGTTTCTTTTCTTTTTTTAACATTTTGACCTCCTTCACTGATTTCTCCTACACCCCTCCACCCCAACTCCTGCCCCTGGCAACCAGGAATCTGTTCTCTGTATCTATGAGCTTGATTTCAGGTTCCTTTGAGTTCCTTTATTTTACAAAGAAATGCAACCGTTATCCTGATTGGTGCCTTGAAGGACTTCTGGTCAGTTGCAGATTCTTCCATAGGCAGATGGTTTCAGAGCCCCCTTTGTTTTAACTTTGGAATATCTCCCATTGGCTACATATGCTGCCTGTGCAGAAATTTTAGTCCTTCCACCTGAGAGGAGATACTAGAGAGAAGTGGGATCTAATTCCTCCATGTGATAGAGAAAAGCTTTGTCCCAGAGTGACCTATTTTTGAATGCTTCTGACCAATTCCTACTGTTTGACAAGTAATTTTTTTCCGTTGTTTTTCTCTTTTTTATTTTATTTTATTTTATTTTATTTTATTTTATTTTATTTTATTTTATTATGTTATGCTAATCACCATACATTACATCATTAGTTTTTGACGTAGTGTAGTCCCCATGGTCTGGTCATGTGCATTTGTATTCTGAGATGAAGTCAGTGGAGAGGCCTCTGTTTTAACCATAATTGCTAGTCAACTTCTCTGGGCTTCAGTTTCTCTAAAATGACTTTTTTTTTGAGGCTTTTATCTGAGGTCATACCTACAAATTTCCAAGGTTTTTGTGAATAAAGTAGTCAGGCTGTATCGTTCAGGTTTGTTTGTAAATGGTAGAAATGCAGATAAAAGGGACTTAAGCTTAGGGTCAATTAATTGACTAATATACTGGGAAGTTTGGAAGTGTCTAGCACCAGGCACATCTGGATCTAAGTGTTCAAACAATGCCATCAAGACCAAGTCTTGCTCTCTTCTGCTCTGTGCTTATGCTCAGCCAGATTCTCTGAGTTGGCCCCAGTCAGATCCAGAATGACATCCTCCCAGCTAACAGCTTAACCAGTCTGAGTGAAAAGAGAGCTCCTCTTTCTCAATAATTCCAGCAAAAGTCTAGGAACTGAGTCATATTGGCTTGGCTTGGGTCACATGCCCCTAAATCTGTCATTGAGTTCAAGGGCATGAAATAAACTGGTCAAACTTGGTTGCCTCCCATCTCTGTATCTGGAGGAGAGGAGGGTTGTTATTCAGTTCTTCCCAAATCATAAAGACCAAGAGTGGGGAAGAACAGATTCAAAGAAAGAGGGAATAGATGCAAACCAGGCAAAAACAACAGATGTCCTCTACTCATATAAATATTATGACTTTTTTTATAGCCAAGAAGAAAAAAAAAAGAAAGAAAGATTACCAGAAGGATGAGGTCCTCTCAGGAGAGACTGAAATAAATCTGTGTTTGAGTCACTCATGCCCTTGCCAAATTAAAATTGTAGGCTTTTGGTTAATGGTAGGACGGACCAAAGTCAGCGACTTTTGGTTGGTCTTGGGTGGCTCAGAACCCCATGAGAGCCTCCATTACTTCTGTGGATGCTCTGGGATTCTGTCTCTCTCTCCAGCTGTTTTTGAGTTGACTTGGCACCCAACGTTGGGTATAGCATTTCCCTTTAAGTTCACGTATTTAGATTCTACATGGTCCCCAAATTCCCTTCCTAATCTCCATAACTTGGTGAATTTCTTTCTAGACTGCTTAAGGAAGGTTTCAAAGGACGTTCAACTTGTCTTCTGTCTTTTGGTGTTGAAATGCCAGTTTTGCGGTATCATTGACAAACAGAATGGGCAGCATAGTGGAGAGCCTACCTTACCAGACACCAGATCCAAAGCAAAAGATCATATGAAACAAAACATAGTCTCAAGATTAAACTTTGTGAAGCTGTGACATTATGATTGCGGGTCAGGGTATTTGAGAGACCTGGGGATTGGAAGCATTTATATCATAAAATGCCAGCAGAGTATTCTGGAATCTGGATATTCTTTGCTTGTGGATCTCAGTAACTACTCATAGGACATTTTGGTGAGTCAAGCTGATGGCATCGTTATCAGCAGAATAATAACCCAAACGATATATTCAGCCTTGCTTCATAAGAATAAAGGCGCAAAGACAGATTTTCTTCCCCTTTTCCAAAAAAATAAATTAACTCCCTGCTTTTGGCACAAGGGGTTGAGGAAATTAGTCATCATTTGATCAGTTTGAATGTTTTCCTTTAAGGCAAAGCCAGTAGACCTAAATCACACATGCCAAAAGCAACATGGATACATCCCCATTCATGTAACCCCTCTTTGTTATTATTGGGAATTAAAGCAATACTGTTTCCCAATAATTTTACAGTGCTTGTTCCAGTTTTCCAATGTTTTGAGATTTTTTATTGTTGTTTTTAGCAGTAAAATCCGTTTATATTCTATTGTCGAGGGTCTATAAAGTGTATGAGTACCCACGAGAAATAGAGATGACAGAAAAACACTTCCTAGAATTGATTCCTGGAGAGTTCCTGGAAGCTTTTATGGAGATGGATTAATAAATTAATAACAAACATGCCATAGGATGTTTGTTTTACAGGTGACTCACAAAAGCTTGCAAAAGGCTCCAAAGTTGTGGGTAAAGGTTAGAAAGAAGCAGTTTGTGTGGAGTCTTGAGCCTGGGAACCACAGACTGAACTTGGACATGAGCAAAGCAGAGTGCAGAGTTTATAAACATTTTCTTACTATCAAATTCCTGTCATAGCGAGATACAATTTCACAAACACCTGAACAACTCTTTTTTTATTTCATCATTTGATAATATATATGATAAGAACATTTTTTAAGTAGACCTTAATTCATTCTGAACAAATATATTACTAAAGATTATATAAATTTCACTTTTGAAACTCCTTTGTATTTTCAGTCATAAAAATAAAAAAGTAAATTTCAAATTCCATTTAGCAAGTAGCTTTAATTTATTTATATTTTTAAAAACGTTATTTATATTTTTTAAAAAAGGATTTTGTCCAAATTTTAAATGACATATGTCTTGTTTGTTCTGATATATGTGTGTTGTAATAAATGTATGTTTTGTTCCAATATATATTAAAATATAGATTGAAATTTAATAGGTATTATATATTCAAAATAGAAAAATTACTACTTCACATTTTTTGTATTTTGTACTGTTCTGTTTTTAAGTTTTCTATATTTTGTTTATATCTAATAATCTGCAACTAACACTTTGAAGGAGTTCTTTTGAAGCACTAAATAATATATGTAATGTATTCAATCAATGTAGTTTTTAACACAGGTTTTTAAATTCCTAGAAATAAAGCTAGATAAGGCATTAAGTAGACTGATACAACTTATGGGTGAAATAAAGCTCAATCTAGAGCTTTTTAAATAATTGTTTTTTTCATGGCAGCAGTGATTCTTCCTTTTAACCAATTATCCACGTGGTAAAAAAAAAAGAAAAGAAAAGAAACACTCTATGCCAATGAAGAAAATCAATTTGAAACCCTTCAGTAATTAAAGCTGCCAAAGGAAGCCGCTTTATCCAGTGGAGAAATAAAGCACTGAATCATAAGGGATCCTCTTCTGATCTCTGCCAGATATCACATTTGCTTAATTTCATATGCACTCCGCAGATCTCAAACTGCTTTATTTAGAAAAACCATACATGTAACTTCCACTGTTTTATGATATATTAGTGGAAATTAAAGCAGCATCCTCTGAAACTGTGACTTAGAGTTCTGAATTTAATTTCAGTTCTGCTACTTAGCATATGGACTTGATTAGGAGACTAACTTTTCTGGCCTTCAGTTTCTTATCTTTAGATTGGGGATAATTATACATATAAGGATCAAATGAGTCGATCCACATAAAATCTTTAGAATAGTGCCTGGAACATGACAAATGCCCATTAAATATTGGTTATTATTATCATCCTTGTTGTTGTTTTATGAAATACAAAGCACAGAACCTGGCACACAGTAAGCCCTCAGAAAATGATGAATATCTTTAATCCAACTACCCTAGACTCCAGACCCAAGAGCCAGCATTAACTTCTCCAGGAAGGCAAAGCCATCTTGCTCTGAATATGGGAATGAAGAAAGTAGCCAACAGTTAAACTGGGTCTACTATGTTCTTTGTGCTTCTGCCATGGTGGAGACAAGAAAGAGAAGGTCCTTTGTGGAGATGGCTGTATATGGCTGTCTTTTTGGTAGAAAAGAACTTTGGAACCAGGAGTTGCGAAATAGTTCCACAGAATGTAGAGCCCTAAGCCACAGAAGCACCATGTTTTACTTACTCAGTTATGATTTTAAAAGAAGAGAAAATGATTTTCAGAGTGGATCCAGCCTCCTCTGAACTTCCTAGGAGTCTTCAGTGCCATTAAAAGAAATCATGAGTGTCAGTTAGAAATGAATGCTGAGAGGTAGAAAATTGGGCATTCTGGGGACTTCCTGACCGTCTCAGCACCACTCCAAACTCTTTTTTTTTTTCTTTTTTTTTACCCATTTGAGAGAGAGAGAGAGAGAGCATGAGAGGGGGAAGATCAGAGGGAGAAGCAGACTCCCCACTGAGCAGGGAGCCCAATGCGGGACTCAATCCCTGGACTCCAGGATCATGACCTGAGCCGAAGGCAGTTGCTTAGCCAACTGAGCCACCCAGGCGCCCTGCCACTCCAAACTCTTGCCTGCATTTGTGGCAGTTCTGAAAATAATCTGGACCTGTGGATGAAGCTCCTGAGACCCTGGAAGCACACCTCTTCATCCACAGGCATAAGGACTGCCTAGAATTCTATAATCCTAACTCAATACCTATATTTTTATTTTTATTTTTTTAAGTAAGCTCCACACCCAGTGTGGGGCTTGAACTCACCACCCTAGGAGTAAGAGCTGCATGTTCTGACTGAGCCAACCAGGCACCCCAGCATACCTATATTTTTAGGCCACTGGCAGGAAGGGCATCTTGTTGCATGGTAGAAAGTTGTATGGGGCCAAAAGGATGTGTCTTTTTGTCAATTTGTAATTGATTGGCTGTGTTCTGGAGATTCATGTTGATAAAAGAATATTCTAATTTTTAAAAAGTAAATATGCTCACCTCCCCACTTGTCCAAAAGATCAATTATGACATGTACACACAATTATATACACTAATAATTTGCCATTAAAGCATTGATCTCAGGAGTCTTTTATTCTCATTTTTGAACATATGAAAATGTGATTTTCAATTATAAAAAAAAATCAGTGGATGTATTAACTCTTTAGAAAAAGGTACAGTACCTAAACAAGTATAATTCAATCTGAAGTTATCTGATTAGGCCATGCATATTAAGCATTTTAGAAGCAAATCATCTACTGATAGCTGTTTTTAAAAATTTCATGTGTGTATATTTTGCTTTATTATAGACACAAAAAAGCAAGAATCCACAGTGGGTGGAGGGACAACCAGGCATTGCTTCTATGGACTTCAGCCTGATTCAGAATATAAAATCAGTGTTTACACAAAGCTTCAGGAGATCGAGGGACCCAGTGTGAACATAATGGAAAAAACACGTAAGTCAAGTGTGTCCTCTCCGATCCCTGTCTCCATGGACAAATAGTATTTTAGGCATCCTGTTTTGGTTCAAACACTTTATTCCATTTAGAAAAATGTTAGCTATTGCTGCCCAGGAATATCTGTAATACAAGTTTTCTTCCTCTTCTCCAGTCCCACAATTCACTGCATGTGGCCCACTGATGTCATCTGTATGGGATTTTTTCCATCCTCCATATGTTTCACAAAGGACTGTAAGGCCATATGATAGCAAAATGCTTGAAACAATGACCTTTTTTGTGATCTATATCCATAAGGAACGTTTGTGGTATGCAGAGTGTGAAATGAAGTTTAAGGCCCGGGTCCTGACATTCAAACAATGGCATATTACCACAGCTATGAGGTGGGAATGGAGCCAAGATGTTCCAAATGGCTGACCCTCAAGTTATTGCCTACTTAAGAGGCTCTTGCACTTTTTCCAAGTTGGCTGCAGATCTGATGTACTGAAGGGAAAGGGAAAGTATAAAATTAAAACAAAACACTTCTTACATGTTCTAAAGACCAAGGAGAGTGTCAACTTCTTGGAATGGCTTTTAATCAAGGATTTCTGATGTAAAGGCACAAACATGAAAATTGTAGTGAATTCTGGGGAAATTTGTGTACTTAACTCAGTATCTTGAACTTAGACTCAAAGTCCCTGAGGATTTTGTATCTGAATAAGTGGTGGGCGATGGGTTTTCTTGGTAGCCACCCTATCTTATATCTGACATTTGGAAAGTTCTGTCTATGTATAGGTCTTTCAGTTCGTCTGGCACAGGCAGGAAGAAATCATCAGCAATGTGTGACCTTCAAAAACAGACAGTGAAAGTATAATAAATGGCATGATCCAATTTTTTTCTAATATGAAGATTTTATTTCTTAACACTAAAATATTCCACATTTTATATTGCATATATAGTTTTAAGGTATAGTCTATATATCGTAAAATTCACCTATTTTAAATGTACAATTCAATGATTTAAAGAGTTGTATAGTCATTACCACAATCCAATTTTAGAACATTTCCATCAACCCAAGGAGTTCTTTCATACTCATTCACACTCTGTCCCATCTTCAGTCCCAGGCTATTTGCTTTCTTTTCTTTTCTTTTTTTTTTTCAGATTTTATTTATTTGAAAGAGAGAGAGTGATTTTTTTTTTTAAGATTTTATTTCCTTATTTTACGGAGAGAGACACAGCGAGAGAGGGAACACAAGCAGGGGGAGTGGGAGAGGGAGAAGCAGGCTTCCGTGGAGCAAGGGAGCCCGACGAGGGGCTCGAACCCAGGACCCTGGGATCATGACCTGAGCCGAAGGCAGACGCTTAACAACGGAGCCACCCAGGCGCCCCTGCTTTCTTTTCTTATACATTTACCTTTTCTGGACATTTCAAAGGTGCATGTGGCATCTTTCACTTACCGTATGTTTTTGAGCTTATTCATGTTGTAGGAGATATCAATAGTATGTTTCTTTTTATGGCTGATTAGAATTCTATTTTATAGTTAGAGGATCATATAATTTTGAAGTTACTAGGGACCTGGTACTACACAAGATTTTGAGTCAAACAGACTTCTTTGGGACCCTTTCTAACATGGTGGCCTTGGGCAGTTCCACATCTCTGAGCTTCTTTTTGCTCAGCAGTAAAAATTAAACACTTTTTCTCTTATTGCATGTGGTGGTGGTAAAGATCCAAGAGAACCTGTTGAGGAAGTTTTCTACCCATATCTTACTGAACAAGTATTCTATATCACCATGGCTGTCTTCTTAGAAGTCACAAACTGATGGCCACAGGGTAGATATCACCATGAAATAGGTTTTCTCTGAGCCATACATTTTTTTCCCCCCAGGCTTTAAAGAATTTGTTGAAAGTTCAAAAGATTTGACAACCCAGGACACACATATCATGGTGCCAATCTGCTGAGACCAACTGCTATCTCTTTTATACAGTATATGTGCTCTCAAGTTTGTTCCTTGTTAATGTGTAGGCTAGTTCTTTGCTCATTTTCATTACTTGCCTGACCTTTAAAAATATTTTGGGTTTGTGATCCCTGGTCTACTTCAACGTCCCCTAACCTTAACTCCACAAGTGTTAACTACCAACCCAGGGTTAATTTGGATAGCTCTGTTTGATGTGCTCCCCTTATGTTGGGGATATCTGGATTCTTGTAGCTTCTACCCACTGGCTCTAGTTCACCTTTCTGAATCAATGCAGATCAAGATTGCTCCCTCTTTTATGGGGCAGCCCCTCACATATTGAAGACAGGGACCATCTGTATGCCACATAGAGGATATAAACATATATCACCAGTTCACTGTGGTTCTTCCTACCCAAAAGAGTCTTTGGTCAGATGTTCTGCCCAAACATATTGATCTGTCTGCCATTGCTTCTCATTGATTTGGTTCTTAGGACTTAGAACTTAGGATATGCCTCAATTTCCCACAATAAAGAAGATGGACAATTATAAAGATGACCCACTACTTCCACAGATTTTAAGATAAATACATCTGGCTTTAGAAGCATTTTATGGTGCTTTCAAGAAAGTTTTACAGTCCTAGTTTTGGTATTAAGATTTCTCACTTTTTATTTTACATTTGACACTTTTTAGCTTCAAAAGTTGCCTTTAAAAGATAAAAGGGATATATATTCACAATAATGGAACAGAAGGTAAAAAGTACTTTGTTGACTTCCCTCTTTCCCCATTCTTCCTTCCCACAAGTGCCCATTTGTACCAGCATGGTCTCCTTCAAGAAATTCTCCCTAGGGGCGCCTGGGTGGCTCAGTCGGTTAAGCGTCTGCCTTCGGCTCAGGTCATGATCCCAGGGTCCTGGGATCGAGCCCCGCATCGGGCTCCCTGCTCCGTGGGAAGCCTGCTTCTCCCTCTCCTACTCCCTCTGCTTGTGTTCCCTCTCTCGCTGTGTCTGTCTCTGTCAAATAAATAAAATATATAAAAAAAAAAAAAGAAATTCTCCCTAATATCTATCATCTATCATCTATCTATCTATCTATCTATCCAATCTATATCTATATAGAGATATATTGATATATATCAGATACATATATATCTGATAGGTTTTTTTTATGTTTCACAAATAGGATCATAGCATGGTATTCTGTGACTTGCTTCATTTCACATACTAATTAATCTCAAATATTTTTCTATATTGGTAATATACAGTTACTTCATTTTTTTTAAATGTTGAATTATTTTATTCAAATAATTATATTTTATTGCCTCTTAGGGGCGCCTGGGTGTCTCAGTCGTTAAGCATCTGCCTTCGGCTCAGGTCATGATCCCAGGGTCCTGGGATCAAGCCTCTCATTGGCTCCCTGCTCAGCGGGAAGCCTGCTTCTCTCTCTCCCACTCCCACTGCTTGTGTTCCCTCTCTCACTGTGTCTCTCTCTCAAATAAATAAAATAAAACAAAATAAAATACATAAATAAATATTGCCTCTTAGAATTGAAAGAGACCTTAAAATTAAAATTCATCTCTCCAACCTTCCTGCCAGTGAAGGAATTCCCTTTATAACATTCCTGATCAAGTAAGCAGTCTGCCTGAACTCAGATCTTTCCAGCTATCTGGTGCTCACCTGTTTCAGAGGGAATGGCTATAATTAGTCAAGAGTTTTCCCTCATATTAATCTGAGGTAATAAAAAGAATTTTCTCAGTTTTTCTTAAATTTTTAGTGCCAAATAAGAACAAGAAAAGAATATAGTAACATTTAGGATGTTTACCTAATGATGCCATAATTTCCTTGCTCTTTACCACATGAACTGCTGTGGAAGTCACCACTCTCATGTAACTCTCCCCGTTCCTTTAGCCAGTCACACTTGGCATATTACCTGAACGTCTCTTCCCTCATCGTCCAGGTTGAACTGATCTGGACACACGGTGGCCTCCCAGTGTCTTGCCATTTGGTCCTCAGAACTGAAAGTTTTCCAGAGAGAGTCTGAGCAGAAAAGAGAGCAAATTAGATTCCACTGGGGACCACATCCTGGGGATGCAGGGTGAGAAGCAGGGGGGAGTGCCATGAACAAGGATTGATGGTCAGTCCTTAGTTAGGCAGAATAGAAACGAAGTTTATTATATGTGTGAAAGAAGCCAGAGACGAATCTGAAATGGGTTGGCAGGAGTCTTGCCTTAAATCAACATTAGAACCACTTTGTAGTTGACAGTTTGATTGCATTGACTCCTGCTGGGTAAACTGAATTGTGGCAAAATGGCATTTCAAGCTTTCAGTCTGAGTTTAGGGGATGGATGGAGCCATTTTAACAGGCTGTGGCTGATTTATAGTAGTCACTAACTTCACTATATTCTCCAAGAAGACAATGGTCAAAATCATTGACTTTCCTGAAGAATTATTACTCCATGACCTCCCTCTATTCACCACAGATGTGATGGCTAATCCATGTTCCTTTTCTCTCTACAGAGTCACCTCCTACTCAACCACCCACTTTTCCTCCGACCATTCCACCAGGAAAAGAAGGTAAAAGAATAGTATGATAATGCTGTGATTTTAGGTTCAGGTTTTCTCTTGGTTTTGTTTATTAAACAAACATTAAAAAGAAGAAAAGGGTACAAGGAAGAAATTTAAGAACACAATTTCATATCCCACAGGTAATTCCTTCATGCATTTTGATGTATTTTTTTCTCTGATTTATTACAGAAATTTTCATTTTGAGTATATATTCACATAGATTTTGCTCTCATTTCAAAGTTGAAATCTAATCTTGATTTCATTTTTCTTTGGTAACAGAGGACCAGATTTTCTTTAATAAGCTTATAATTAGCAGATCTTGTGATCCCTTTCAGCTCTAAATTCAAACCATAAATTTGTAAAATTTTATAAATCTCAGAACTTAGAAGAACAACCTTACCAGATCCTTATTGTCCCTGGATTATTACCTCACCTGGAGATAGTTTATTCTATAGTATAAATACCTTTAAGGGACTAGCTTTAAGTACAACTTAATAAAATAAAAACCAAGTGCTTTTTTTTCCTAAAGAAAGGAGAAAGGCACATTATCTCATAGAATATCTGTGTGCAACTGGCCTAAGATGAAAAGATTCAGATTATTGAAGAGTAAATTATTTGTTTCATCATAAAACAGAGTCAATCACAATGATCCACACTAATAAGGGGAAGACAGGCATAGATAATCTGAAACAGCACAGGACACCAAGGAAGGACTACTGAAAAATGTTTTTGGTGGAGTGAGTTTTTGTTGGTGTGTTTCTTGCTTGTTATGTTGATATCAGTAATAACTACTGATAATAGTCTCCCTGGGCTAGCATTAATGTACATTTCTTGACAAGTACCAATGGGTGGCAAAAAGGCATAGAAAGAATTTTAGAGCAAGGCTGGAAGTTTGCTTACAGCCTTAGCCCAAATGCATATCAAATTGTAGATTAATCTGCTTCCGTTATGTCCTGTGCCTTCCTTCTGAATTTGAATCTCTCTGAAGCTACTGACTCAATAAGCAGAGAATAGGGTACTTAGAGTAATAGCTTGGACTTTCTTCTAATAAGTGAGTACTTGAGAGTATTTGTTGCTACTTCTGACTCTAAATCACTTTAGTTCCTCATTTTTCTATTCTTTAATTTTCTATTTTGGAGGGCTGAGATTGGTTGATTTTTTTCATAATTCTACATATTTGATAAAACTTCTCAGTCATGAAGTCAAGCTTCTCCTTGACTACAGGAAAGAAATGATCATCAGGAGGTATAATGAGCAAGAGCTTGGAATGTGATTTATACCTTTCCTTTGGGAAAGAGCTGTAGTTACCAGAAGGAAACCACCATCTGCTTTGTTGGTTGTAATAACTACTGTTTTCCTCTTATCTTGAATTCAAAATTCATTCCTGGTCTTCAGTATGCAGAGCTGCCAAGGCAGACCTGGTGTTTATGGTGGATGGATCCTGGAGTATTGGAGATGAAAATTTCAATAAGATCATTAACTTTCTGTATAGCACTGTTGGAGCCCTGAACAAGATCGGTGCTGATGGAACTCAAGTAAGGCTAGCTGAACAATCTTTAATTCATTCTATGCATTAAAAAATTATCCGAAGCTATTGTTATGGCTACTTGTCAGTTGATATGGGTAATATAGTGATCAGATCTGACCCTAAATGAGAGGATAGACAAGTCTGGATTTGGAAGCAGCTTACTGATGCCAAGAGTCAGACGCTCAACCAACTGAGCCACCCATGTACCCCTGCCACTGGAAAGTTTTAAGGAGAGAATAAAGGTCGTTCTGACTGTTTTATGGAGTGTGAATAGTAACACGGGTAAGAGTGGATGCAGAGAGACCATAGTCCAACACAGAGATGAGTTGGAGGCCTGGGCATGGGTGGTAACAAGGAGATGCATGGGCAGGAACAGATTCGGAATGTATCATGGAGGAATGGCTGAGGAAATTTGGATCTAAGGGGAACCATAAAAGAAAAATAGATAAATGCTAAGGCTTTTCGGGGAGCAAGGAATGTATTTTGGATAGAAGGGTCAGATGTCCCTAGAGATGGTGACATCTGCAGCAGTGGCCCTTGGAAGCTGGTAGCAGCTGAAGGCTCACACAATCAGAGAAAGCACTTTGAAAATGCTGTATTTATTCCCTCCCATGATCATTCTGAAAAGCAAACAAAAAAGATCCCAGTAAATTAAAGATAACCCCCAAATTCCACTGGAAGAAAAGCAAACTATAGGAAATGAAGCCAGGAAGGCTTTTATTGTAGTGGTTAAAAACATAAGAGTTTGGGGGCACCTGGGTGGCTCAGTCAGTTGAATGTTCGACTCTTGATTTCAGCTCAGGTCATGATCTTAGCGTCTGGAGGTGGAGCCCTCCCTGGGCTCTGCACTCAGCAAGGAGTCTGCTTGAAACTCTCTCCCTCTCTCTGCTCCTCCCCTCACTCACTCTCTAAATAAATAAATAAAAATCTTTAAAGAAAAAGAACATGGATTTTGAGGTAGGATTTACTTGGCTTCAACTGTTGGTTCTGCAGTGGCCACCCTTGGGATTTTGTGCAAGGCACGTGACTTTGAGTGCCTTTGTCTTCTCGTGTGTAAAACGGTGGAACAGTAGTGATTACTTCACAGGTTTGTTTCATGAAGACATCCTTGTAAAGAATCCACCTCGGATTCTCTGACCTTTGTCAAGTTACAAGGCTGCTTTTTTTTTTCCATCTGTCAAACAAGAAAGCAAAAGGTCTACATACTTTCGAAAGAGATTGTTAGGAGACTGAGAGAAATTTTTAAAAATGAACTGTTTCCTGAAAAATACTTAGAGAACAAAAAATACTGCTTAATGTGTTGTCAGATTTGCTATGTGACCTGTGTGAAATTTTAAGCCAAGGAAATTGTGGTTTGGGTTAAAAAAGAAATTAAAATCGTAGGTGTAATCATGCCCTTGTGTGTGCTTTCTGGAGGAAGTCTTTATATATGTGAAAACAAATACGTTGTCTCTCTCCAGGTTGCAATGGTTCAGTTCACTGATGACCCCAGAACAGAATTTAAACTAAATGCCTACAACACCAAAGAGACCCTTCTTGATGCAATTAAACATATTTCATACAAAGGAGGAAATACAAAAACAGGTAAGAATAACAGCAACGACAAAACTCAGCAAAGACCCAAAGTAATTCATCATTAATAATTACTGAAATGGCTTTTTTGGAGGCATAAGAATATAGATTTTTTTGGAAAAGATTTTTTACTGCTCTAAGAACTTCTACTCTTCCCTCCCCAGCGAAACAAACAGGGGGAGGAATGAAATTGAACAGGTTGCCTTCCTCTGTTTCAGGAAAAGCAATCAAGCATGTCCGAGATAGTTTGTTCACTGCAGAGTCAGGGACCAGAAGAGGTATCCCAAAGGTCATCGTGGTTATAACTGATGGCAGGTCACAAGATGATGTGAACAAAATCTCCGGGGAGATGCAATCAAATGGTAAGCCACGGATAGTAATGTTGCCATTGTTTTCTGAATACAAATTTATAGGTCCATCAGAATGATTTAAGTGTTTCTAAATCTTTCTGAATATTTAATGTAAATCTTTTTTAATATTAACTAGACAATGTGATTTTTATTTTTTTATTTTTTATTATGTTCAGTTAGCCAACATATAGTACCTCATTAGTTTTTGATGTAGTATTCAGTGATTCGTTAGTTGCATATAACACCCAGTGCTCATTACCACACATGCCCTTCTTAATACCCGTCACCTGGTTACCCCATCCCCCGACCCCCCTCCCTTCTGTAACCCTCAGTTTGTTTCCCGGAGTCCAGAGTCTCTCATAGACAATGTGATTTTTAAGAAAGGTCCTAAGTTACAAATCTAATATTTTGCTGTATTTTCTCTAATACTTTTGTTACATACAGGATGCCCTGTATAAGAAATTGTAGCAATTAAGTGCAATACTGTGAAAAGGACCATTATGAAGGGCCAGGGAGGGAACCTGATCACAGAAGCTCCTCAGCCTCCTCACCTGCAAAATGGAGATTCTTATTGGATTATCATGAAGATTACATTTTTTAAGACATGCCTGGCAAACAGTAGTTTAATATTTATTTGCCAAGCATGGAACCATGACCCACCTCAGGCTGCTAGCCTATTAATACCTCAGGTTTTACATGTTAAGAATAAACTGAGATAAAGTTTCTCTGTCTCAACTGCATTTCATCCTGTAAACCTTATAATAATTATTAGAAGTATATAGCATAAAGATGTTCCTCCAATGGCAACACTTTTGTCTCAAGCACTAACTGGGGCATTGCCTGTCTTGAGTTTTCTTTAAAATGGAAAATTGCTTAGGGGCTGATGGAATAATTATCATTTGGTGGCATGTGCCCGTGCAGAATTCTGATGGACAATAAAAAATGAATTATCCACCCCCACCAGGCCTCCTTCGTAAACATTTTAAACACAGGGACATGTCTTACATTGCATTATTTGTATTTTGTGCAGTTTAAAATAATCAGAACTCTCTTCCCCTCCTGCCACAGGCTACAGCATCTTTGCAGTCGGTGTGGCTGATGCAGATTACTCAGAGTTGGTTAGCATTGGCAGCAAGCCCAGTTCACGGCACGTCTTCTTTGTGGATGACTTTGACGCCTTTAAGAAAATTGAAGATGAGTTGATTACTTTTGTCTGCGAAACCGCTTCAGCAAGTTAGTTCTTTGGAATTTGTACTTAACTCATGTTGCTTAATGGCTGAAATATTTCATACCAGTTAAATAATGAGTCCCATCTTGATCTGAGAAAAGAATATGTATTTGCAGAGCTGTTTAGTATGCAGACATTAAGTTTTGTGGTTTTGAGCATTTGGAAATAAACCTCCGCTCTCCCCCGTTTAGGGTTTTAGGTGGATAAAAACTTTCCCTAATGAGATGAGAGTCTATGTCTAGAAGCAACTCTGCCTAAACAGCTGTAGTAAATGTTTTTCAAAATGTAGTAAGACTGCTCATCAGGGTGACACATTAGAAGTGAGACTGCTCCCAACACATGCTCTCAAGAGACCACCATAGATTTTAATAGGTCCATGAGAGAAGAAGGAAGCCATGTCCTTCTGGTTGTAGTAGGCCAAGGGAGAGCATTTCAATCTTTAGGAATCTACAGAAAACCATAGCCACATGTGGTTTGGATTCCCTTCACAATTGACTTCCGCAAAGATTATGTTAGCTTCCTGTTCTCAGGACAGGGAAAGGATATGTTTGGAAAATATCTAAATTAGGGTTTTCCATTGTTTGTTTTGCTTCCTAGCCTGCCCGCTGGTGTACATGGATGGCGTTGGTCTTGCAGGTATGCATTATCACAATCTTTCCAAATACATTTGGGAAATACAAAACAGGTCCAGATTTTTTTTATCTTTAAAAGACTAATTTTGAAATTTAAAATCCTAAAATGCCTGTTTTTTTTCTTTCTTTCTCTCTCTTTCTCTCTTTAGGATTTAAGATGATGGAAATGTTTGGCTTGGTTGAAAAGGATTTTTCATCTGTGGAGGGGGTTTCCATGGAGCCTGGTACCTTCAATGTGTATCCCTGTTACCGAATTCATAAAGATGCCCTGGTTTCCCAGCCAACCAAGTATGTTTCCCTTGCGAGATATTAAAGCCAATCATTTGTTATTGTATCTCAAAATGAAAATGATGTCAACTTGAAATATGCTGTATTAGTTCCCAGTAGGATTTTCCATGATGATAAGAACAAATGATTAGACTTCTCTGTTTAAAAACATTAGACTCACACAAAATGCCAGTTGAACTTTAATAACTGTTAGTCTGAGAAAATATATGAAGATAGTTGATCTTTACCCAACGCTACCATATACCAGTCATTGTTCTAAGTGCTTAAGCACCTTAACTCACTCAAAGCTCCAAACAGCTTTATGCATTAGATTCACTTACTATCTCAGTTCTAGAAATACTGAAATTAAAGCACAAAGAAGCTAAATGACTTGAGTGAAATCACATGGTTTGTTTAGTGAAAATGCTGGGGTTTGCATCTGGCAGTCAGGCCCCAGAGCCCACACCCTGAACCATGTCATTCCAGTGCCAATAATTCAGCTCATTTTTAATTTTTGAGAAGTCGCAACAGCAACCCCACATAGTGGATGAGTAGTATTGGATGTATGTACAAACCACATTATCTACTTGCTTTATAGTTCATAATGCGCATAGGATTCCTGGGCCCATTTACAGCAAATTCCTGGTTCAAGGGATCATCTCTCAAGATGTTATCTGCTATTTTACATTCCAACGTGAAACATTTTCAGTGTCCAGATGTTGTAGTGTGCACTTGTGCACGGACCAATGGGAGAGATCATATTAGAGTATTAAATTCATCTGTCCAATGTATACACAAGTTGCTTTGCTAGCTTCTTTGAAAATATTATTTATTAAATTTTAGCCTATTACCATACTATCCAAATTATTTTATTGTGCTTCATTTGGGAAGATATTATTTGAAATAAGTAGACCTCTATTTAACACAAAATATTTGCTTTTATAGGTGTAGCTTCATTTTCTAGAAAATTGTTAAAAATGCTTTTGACCTATAGAGTATATGCGCTTTTAGAGAAAGCCAACATCTGGTATTGCCTTTTAGCAGGTTTTCTTTTTCCACAGTCTAGGGATGCATAATAAAATGGGTATTTGAAAAACCCTCCATGGAGTCCTAGCCAAAAATGAGAACTGCCAAAGGGAAAATCCTCTCTACCGCACTGAAATGGCTCATCCCGGGAACAACACCGTCCAACTTCAAAATCCATTCACAGGCTCCCAGCCATCTTACTCCACCTGTCACTAGCATTTGACACAGTTGCTCACTTCTTCCTCTTGGATTCACTCTCCTCACTGGGCTCCTGGGACACACACTCTTTTGAGCTTCTGCCTACATTACCGGCTGTTCGTTTGCAATGCTGCCCCCTCTTCTCACCTCCACTTCTTCGTGCTGGAGGGATTAGGTCTGATCCTGGACATTCTTGTTTTCCTTGTCTATACCCACTCTCTGGTGATCTTTTGAGTAGTGTTTAGCATTATCTATATGCCAGCGACTCCTAAATTTGTATTTCCAGTCCAGACCCATTTCCCCATAATGAGACTAGCATATCTAATTGTGTACTAGGCATCTTGCTTGGCTATCTAAGTGGGCATTTTAAGCTCTGCATGTTCAAGACCATGCTGACCTTCGTTCCAGAGCCAGCTTCACTTACAACCTTTTCCATCTTAGTGACAATTACATCTAACCCGTTTCTCAGGCAAAAAATATTGACTCTTTCATGTCCCACATCCACTCTACAAAGGAATCCAGTTGTCTGTGCCTTCTCACCATCTCCACTGCCTTAACTCCATATGGGGTGCTGTCATCTCTTCCCAAGCTCATTGCAGCAGGCTTCTAATTGGTCTTCCTGCTCAGACCCTTGCCTTCCTAGAGTCTATTCTCCAAGTAGCAGTCAGAGTAATTCTTTTAAAATGTAAATCATGTCACTCCAAAATCTCCATGATTCCCCATTCCCCTTGCATTAAAAGTCAAAACTCTTGAATGGCCCATAGGCTCTACATTATCTGGGTACCTATTACCTCTTTGACTTCACCTCTTGTCTCCTTCAGTCCAATCTCCAGACATACCAGGAACACTCCACTTTGGTGTCTTTGTACTAGCTGGATGTCTTTCTCTCTTCTGAGGTTTTCTTCAAATCTAACTTTCTCAATGAACCTTTGCTCAAATGTAACCTTCTCAAGGAGCCTTCTAAGTGAAGCCAGTGACTTCAATTAACACTGCAAAACAAAAACCACTGCAAAACAAACAATGCAAACAATAGCATTCCCAGTCCCCATTAAACTGCTCTATTTTTCTTGTTTTTTTTTTTATGGCATGTTCACCTTCTAATACACTGTATAATTCACTCTGCTAGAATTTAAGTGCTTCTACAAGGATAGGAACATTGTTGGTTTTATTCATTGATGTTTCTTAGGTGTCTATTACAATGTCTGGCACATAGCAAGCACACAATAAATATTTGTTGAATGAATGAATGAACTAATATATAAACAAAATGAATGAAATATTTTTATCTATGCAAATCAAACTTTCATTTTCAAGTTCATGCTAAAATCCCATATTCTTAAATTTATCCACTTAATAACTATTACGAGGCTCCTATATATGTAAAGGGCTATATTTGTTGCTTTGGGGAAAAAATTAAAAGTATATAAGTGCTCCACTTAATCGTTAGAGAGAGATAAAATGGTATAGCAGGCTCGGCTCCTCAGAGGCAGATCCAGAGGTGGCGATGAGTGTTTGAGGAAGCTGATGTGGATGTGCGCTCATGGAAGGGAGTAGAAGGAGGTGAGATGAGACGGAGAAAAGTCAAGCCGTGAAACAATCTCACTGAAAGTCTTAGGGGGCCCACATATAGGAGTTCTGAAAATGAAGCTGCCTCCATTTGAATGAGCGGCTCTGGTCTTCATATGCCCTCAAAGACCAGTCACTGAAAACAAGTGCCATAAAAAAAGGTGGCATGACCTTGGGAGAGCCCTTCTTTCTGCTGAGCAGTCTCTGATGGGAGTTGGTATTTGAGAGCTGTCTACAGACATCACTCCCAGCAGCAGGAGTAATACATTCTTAACTCTTGAAGGTAGATCTAGCTGGTGCATCCCAGCACGAAGCATGGACAGGAATGCAGCTAACTACAACCTATAGTAGAAAGTGACAATGTCTTAAGTTTTATAAAAAGACTGTAGATAAACATTATTTATAATACCGAAACTTTTGAAATGACTTAAATGTTTGAGAAGAAGTGACCAGTTAGACAAATTATGGAATAGCCAGACAATAAAAGATTGTGCAGACATTAAATATCATACTTTTAAAAAATATTTAAGGAAATATGAACTGTGTAGTAAATGGTGCTAGGAAAAGGGGCAGCATTCTTTAAAAACTGGAGGGAAATGTACCACCTCAAAACAGGGGTCATCTCTGGATGGGATTAATAGTCCTCTGTTATTTTTTTTTCTGTTTTTCCAAATCTTTATAATTAAAGTGCATTTGCTTTTATAATCAGATAAATAACTTTTTGAAAGGGATGCAGTGAAATATTTTCTTTCCATTTTTCAGATATTTGCATCCAGAAGGATTGCCCTCCGACTACACAATGAGTTTTCTATTCCGGATTCTTCCTGACACTCCAGAGGAGCCATTTGCTCTTTGGGAGATTTTAAATAAAAATTCTGACCCATTGGTTGGAGTCATTTTAGATAGTAAGTATATTCATTTATATGTTTGTACACACATGTATGAGTAATGTATACGGTGTGCCATCTTGCCTGTTTTGTGTACATTAGACCCTCGAAAAGCATGGGTTTGAAATGCATGAGTCCATTTCTACAAGGATTTTTTTTTTTTGATAAATGTGGTACAATACTGTAAATGTATTTTCTTTATAATTTTCTTAATAACATTTTATTTTCTCTAGCCTACTTTATTGTAGGAATATAATACATAATACATATAATATACAGAATATATGTTGATCAACTGTTTATGTTATAAGTAAGGCTTCTGGTCAACAGCAGGTTATTAGTAGTTAAGATTTTGGGAGTCAGAAGTTACATGTGGATTTTCAACTACTTGAGGTGTTGGTGCCCTTAACCCCCACATTGTTCAAGGGTCAACTATATATTGTAGAATAACTCATTTATCTTAAGCCATGAGTAAATACTAGCAATAAATTATGTAACAGTTGTTTCATTCATTCATCCACTCATTCTTTCAGCAGCTGTTCACTGAGTTTCTACTATGTGCCAGCACTAGGCTCTGGGATTCAGCAGTGGGCAAGGCAGAAAGAGACAATTACTGGGGTAGTAAAAATTGCAGGATGGGCTAAGTTGATGGTGGGAGGAGTCAGAGGGTTACTGGGTGGGGAGGAATAAGAATCATTTTTTGCACATGGATATGATAAGTATAAGATTTTTCTTTTGGGTTCCTTGGCCCTATTCCAATGTGTGTGTTGGGGGGTATGAGGAGGGTGGAGAGTTTTACACACAACACCAAGCAGTTCTCAGATACCAGCAGGATGCTGAGAATTCAACTCAATTCTAATACTATCTACCCAGAGATAACATCAAATCCCATGGGTTAAGCGTTCAGTCCCATAAGACTGTGCCCTCCCACCGCCCCTTTCAGACTCCAGTTGCAAGCCAGGCTGTTACCTGAGTTTCTGATTGACTGGTTCTAAATCAGAGGTTCTAAAAAAAAAAAAAAAAAAATCAGTCAATCAATTAATCAATCCGAGATTCCTCTGAGCTCTTCCTTGGGCTTGATTAATTTGCTAGAATGGCTCACAGAACTTAGAGAAACATTTTGTTTGCTAGATTCCTGCTTTATTATAAAAGGATATAACTCAGGAGCAGCCAGCTGGAAGAGATGCTTAAGGCAAAGTATGTGGGAAGAGGCACAGAGGGTCCATCTCTCCCCAGGCAAGCCACCCTCCCTAGTCCTCAAGTATTCAGCAACCCAAAAGCTCTCTGAACCCCATCCTTTGTATTTTTATTGAGGCTTCATTAAATAAGCATGATTCATTAAATTATTGGCCATTGGCAACTGAACTCAATCTCTAGCTACTCTCCACTCCCTCGAAGTCTGGGAAAGAACTGGGATTGAAAGTTCCAGCCTGGTGATGGGTATTAAACAGGGCACATACTGAATGGAGCCCTGAGTGTTATATGCAAACAATGAATCATGGAGCACTACATCAAAAACTAATGATGTAATGTATGGTGATTAACATAACATAAAAAAAAAGTTCCAACCCTCTAATCACAGGGTTGGGTCCCTTGGTAAGGAGCCCTCCACACTTAGGTTACCTAAGGGCTTTCTAAAAGTCACCTTATTAACATAACAAAAACATCTTTATAGCTCTTATCACAGAAAATTCCAAGTGTTTTAGGTGCTGTGAGCCAGGAACCAGGGACCAAGACCAAATTGTATTTTTCATATATATTTGAATAACCAAATATATATTTCTTATAAATTGCAATATCACAATGCCTAGTTCATATCCCAGAAAAAATGCCAGATTTGCAGCAGCATATTTTGGGAAGAATTCTGGGATGGGGATATACATTTGCAATTGTATTTGTCTGGAAAGAGAATAGGTCTGAAAACTGGGACATTCCATTTTTTGGAGGTTGGAAAGATGAGGGGAACCAGCGAAGGAAGCTTCTTGATCACATGCTCTTGGATGTCACACATGATAATCATTTAAGAGGATTGTCAAGTTTTCAGTTAATGTCACTGAGTTTTCTAAATACCTTTTTTTGTTTAGGATTCCAATCAAGCTAGGAACCAAAATGTGGTGGCTATTGTTAGGTGCTAACTCACATATTTGGATAAGGAATGTATTTAACATTTAAGCTTACCTCCAACTAGCATTTGTTTTTTGTTTTTTTAAAGATTTTATTTATTTATTTGACAGAGAGAGCGAAAGAGCACAAGCAGGGAGAGCAGCAGAGGGAGAGGAAGAAGCAGGCCCCCTGCCGAGCAGGGAGCCTGATGTGGGACTCCATTCCAGGGCCCTGGGATCATAACCGGAGCCGAAGGCAGATGCTTAACCATCTGAGCCACCCAGGCGTCCTCCAACTAGTATTTGTAAAAGGACTTTTCAGTACATGGAAATGAATCAACAACTAAATATGATATTGTGAAAGCATTTTGCATCCATACTGAAACTAAGGGAAAGTTGTAAATTAAAAGGGTATAAATAATTAACTCCATATTCACATGGGACTTGAAAACAAAGAAATCTCTCAAAATGATTAAGACTAGCTTATTCCCAGGCACCTGGGTGGTTCAGTTGGTTAAGTGTCTGACTCTTGGTTTTTGGCTTAGGTCATGATCTTGGGTTCTGGAATGGAGCCCCACATCAGGCTCCATGCTCAGCAGGAACTCTGCTTCTCTGTCTCTCCCTCTGCCCCTCCCACCCCCACACTCTCACACTCTTGCACGCTCTCTCTCTAAAATGAATAAATAAAATCTTAAAATAAAAAAAAAAGGACTAACTTATTCCCTTTGAAATCACAGTGAATAATTAAATTGTAACCTAGGAATTAATTAGTGAAAAAATATTCCTTTTTTTCTTTTTTGTAATTCCTTGTCCTGAAGATTAGGAAGATTTAGTTTGTTTGTGGATTTAGTTTGTTCATAATAAAAGTCATATTGGGATATCACTTTGGGGGTGGTATAAGTTGCATGTCCTGGAAAAGTTGGTTGCTCCAGGGGTTAATAGGCAAAGGGTTTGGTTTCTAGATCTTAAAATAGGATTAACTTTATTCTCCCTTTTTTTCTGCTTCTACTCCCGGCTTTAGACAACCATCTCCCAGGAGGGTATTGGGGATGAGAGTACAGGCAAGGAAGTACAAAGGAAGAATATATGTGGGGTCCTTACTTCACTATCATCACCACATGATTAAGTCAGTTAATTGGCCAACTGAAAGCCTGGGGCAACCCAAGGACTATAGATCATTTCCTTACTTATCATTTTGTTCTAAACACAGCCTCTGCCTTGACTTGAATTTTATAAAAATTATTTACCCATTATAATGCTTTCTAAACTGTTTTTATTTTTCTTTGATTAGATGGTGGTAAAACCTTAACATATTTCAACTATGACTACAGTGGGGATTTTCAAACTGTTACTTTTGAAGGACCTGAAATTAGGAAAATTTTCCATGGTAGCTTTCACAAGGTGAGTAAAGCCTTATATACATATACTCCTTATTCTGTTTGCTTTGTGCAAAGCAACAGAGATATACATTTCTTTATTTTATTTGTTGTGGGCCAAGCAACAGAGAAGTGTAAAATAAATCCCATAGTGCTTTGGATTTCATATTTCACTTGGAGTAAGCTTCTTCCAACTTGGTAGTTCTAAGATGCGACCACCAAGTGTGCATTTTTACCAGGTACCCCAAGAGATGTTGATAGAAGTGGTCCAGGTTCACACTTTGAGTAACAGTGTAATAGAGGATACTACCTTACTAGGACAGTTAATTCGCTGCATTATGTGTGATGTGGAAAGGATTGCTGGTCTACCCAGCCACCAGTGATAATGAAAGCACAATCAACCAATTCATGTTAGTTTGTAGAAGATAGTTTGTACTGATATATTTATATATATACAGAAAACCCATCACTACCATTATAAAAGTTATTCTGAGGAGGGATTTTGTAAAACCTGACTGTAGTTTTTATTTTTATCTGGTATTTGTGATAGAACTCTGTTCCTTATGACTTCCTATCTCTGAAACAGTTTTGGTGATCACTAGAGTAGCCATGCTTCCTTCCAACATGTATGGTTTCCTTTGTGTTTAGCAAATGATCCCACTGATCTCTGGGCTGTTAAGTAATGCAACTTGCCAGTGTTGCATGTAGAGCAGAACATTTATAAGTGGTGCTGCAAATAACCTTGCCTCTTGATCCTCCTTTCTGTGTGTTGAGTGAGGGAAGGGATGTCGCAGGGCAGTCTTCATCTTGGCTTCTGTCTCCTGACCTAGAACATGGTCAAGCCCATCTAATTTACACATGGTTGCTACTTTCTGGGGTCTTGAATACCCTCTCTGCACAAGAACAACTATATACCAAGATCCTTAATCTTTTTTGCACAAGAAAATTACATACAAAAATTTTGTTGTTGTTGTTTAATAGGACTGTACAACCAGAAGTATAATATCTTAAAACCACGAGATGCACGTAGAGATTTATTAGTTCATGGTTCAAAATAATCCCATTAGCATCTCTTTGTGGAGATATTGTCATTTACTCACCAAGTTCCCCTTGTCTTGAAACAATTCTTTCTTGGTTAAGCAGAGTCTGTTGCAAAGTAGTTAAGAAAAATTATAAAGGAGATGTAAGATTTCATAAGTGTTAAAAACACATTGCCATCATAACATAAACTTGTAAATCTCATTCCAAAGAATCATTTATAAGTCTTAGGTGCATGTTAAGCTTTACTCACCTTACTGGAATATCTTAAAGACCTTACAAGTAAGAGTCATTAAAAATCCAGTTTAAATTTATAAAAACCTTCCAGTTTTTTAAAGTTATTTTAAAAAAAAAAGCCTTCCTCTACTCTTTTCAGTACTGTTAATAAAGCCAAACAGCCAGACTAACCAAAAAGAAAAGGCTTATCATGTAATAAACTACTCCATTAATAGATATACTAATTGAAAATCTTGATGCAAATTCAATATGTAGAGATCAAATTTGATTTGCTCATAGAATTGTATTTAATTGAATACATTACCTTAGTTTCTTGTTTTTCAGTTGGCTTTAATTTCTACACTTTGGATATGAAGTGTGACCCCACGGTCTTTCAAAAAGTTGATAATTATATAAACAGATCCTTAAATGCAATTAAATAAGCAAAATATTTTTGAAAGGTTTTCAGTGTCTCCTGTTTAAAGCAAAAGTTGTTTAAAAAAAAGAACTTGAATATCTCCCCACAAGTAAATGGTTCTTGAAGCATGAATATTATATACAAGGTTGTCTAGCACCCAGCATGAACATTTCTGTAATTTGTAATAATGAAAAGTATTCCAAGTTTCAAAAACATATGAGTCAAATTAGATCCTTCTAAATGATCATAAGAGAGATGTTAGTAGGAAGGAAGTAATGTGGGGGATTTACTCCAGCAGTGTTTCTCCAGTTGAATAATGGTTTAACTCCTCTTCGAAGGAAAAAGAATTCTCAAGAGCCTCTACTGTTGACTTAAATTATTTTTATCATGATTTAACATAAAACATTAAATGAAAATTGATATACATCCTTATGCTTTCAGTTCCTAGGCAACTATGAAACAAAAATAAAGATTGAATAAAACCAGTAATGTTAATGGGACACCTGGGTGGCTCATTTGGTTAAGTATCTGACTCTTGGTTTCAGCTCTGGTCATGATCTCAGGGTCCTGAAATCCAGCCCCCTGTCAGGCTCCCTGCTCAGCAGGGAGTCTTCTACTCCACGCTCTCTCTCTTTGCCCCTCCCCCTGCTCATGCACTCTCTGTCTCTAAAATAAATAAATCTTAAAAAAACCAATAAAGTTAAAAGTAACATTATTTTAATATGAAAGATGATGTTGCACTGATACGGACCTCTGCTCACAATGCAAATACAGTACTAGCTGCTATAACTCCCATAACTATTTCCTAGTACCTTTTTTCTTTGAACTAACACACCTTCCCTTATGTAGCTATTTGTAACTTTTTTTGGCTTTCACTTAATGTGAAATCATTATTTGCCTATTAATTCCACTCTGAGCTCCCGAAAAAAGTAGCCTTCCACAAAAAAGAAATACCCAAGAGGCAAACACCATCATAAACTGAAACGCATTTATAAGCACTGAAATTTCATGGCAGAACTTGCTTACAATGTGGTTCATTTAGAATATGCTTACCTTTGACACTCACCCCCAGAATAACACATATTTTTACAAATCCTCACAAAGAATGTGTAGACTCCTGAATATATTACCATAGACATGCAGATTCTAGAAATTTCACTTTGAGAAAACTGTACCACACATTAAGCCAAAGAGCTTTATTTCTTTTGGTCCTGGAGTCACCAGAAGGCATTCCTCCTTCCCTTTCAGATTCTAGATCTCCTCTCTTCATCTTAAATTAAATAAATATTATCAAAATGTGGTTTGCTGACAACTGGCAGTACCACAGATAACTTTTGCTGGTAAATCACTTAGCATTTTTTATTTTCATATTTTTGTGTTCATTTTAATGTGCATTCAGAAAAGGCTGCACTAATCCTGTCACTTCAGGGTGTTGCTGCTTTAGTTGAAGGCTAGATCGTGATTCCTTTCAAAGTCATTAAAAAGTAATTTCAAAGTAAATAAAAATAGAAGTGCTACCTGAATGTGGGACAATCATGGTGGTGGTAAACGTAGACCCTCTCTCTTCTAGCAAAATGCATAGTGACAGAATTCCTTCTCTTGCCTGCTTTTTAGTGACGAGGCATGTAATTACATAAGATTGATATTTCTTCCTACTTCCTACCTCCTAAAACATCTTTACTTTTACCTAGATACACATTGTTGTCAGCAAGACTTTGGTCCAAGTGGTTATTGACTGCAAGCATGTGGCTGAGAAGGCAATAAATGCCTCAGCTAATATCACGTCGGATGGTGTTGAAGTCCTGGGGAGAATGGTCAGATCAAGGGGACCAAATGGAAACTCTGCACCAGTAAGTGGATAAACAAGTGGAGCTGTGTTGTTATTATAGAAAAAAAAAGGGTTTTCCAGGGGAAAAATTTGGTAAGAGAATGGATGGATAGATGGGTGGATGATTGGATGATGGCTGGCTGGCTGGCTGGCTGGCTGGATGGATGGATGGCTGGCTGGATGGATGGCTGGCTGGCTGGCTGGCTGGCTGGCTGGCTGGCTGGATAAATGGAAGAATAACAGACTCTTTAAATGAAATAAAACATTCAAAGTTCTTGGTAGTATACTTCTGCTATATTATAATAAGAATGCTCTGAGAATTAGACTAGTTTATTTTCTGAAGGCATTTAAAAATGCAAATAGTAAAATACTTATCAAATGACTTATGGCATAAAAGGTTTGCTAATGAGAATCAAAACTGTAAATCACAACTCTAAGCAAATATAAATTCATGCAAATATGTGACTATTATACATAGTATACACAGGAAATTTATTTAAGTTTCTCTGTTGTGTTAGATTTGGGCATTTTTAAACTAGATTTTTGTTATTGCTAATGTGAAGTTTACCCTTAATCATAGATTATTTAAGTAACAAATCATTCTAAGATAATATATTTTTCATCATATAGCAGAATTTAAGACAAGGAGACTTCCAGTTGGCAAAGAAATCACATTCTTTTCTCTCACTACCCACAAAAAAAGAATAGTGTACACAAGCTTTTCTTTTAACACCATGTGTTCACAGCTAATTAGCAATGTTTTCTAATTTGAGTCATTTCATAATTAGAACCAATTAGCCTGGAGGGCATTTTATTTTTGTAAATAATTCCAACTATTTTAATGAACATTTCTATGTAACAGAATCATCAGGTTAATTATGAGTCACTATTACTGTCTTGTGCTTTCTAGATCTGTAGCACTAGCCAGCTATATGGAACTGGAGAATGCCTTGATGGTTCTGAGTCTTTTTAAGTTGAAGATCACTTTGTACAAATGAAATCTTCTAGTATATCAAATAAATAAATAGATAAGATTGAAATAGACCCATGCTAATTGAATGGGAGAGAAGACATGGAGTAGCAGGTTACCCCATCCTCCAAAGGTCCCTAAGGGAGCTTCAAGGAGCACGGTTCTAATTCCACTTCTAGTATGACCCATTCACTTTATATACCCGCAAACAGTCCCAGAGTGGTAAAGTGATTTACTTTGGGACATTTCACAATTTAGTGGCATTTCTCTTTGTGGTACAATACAAGGGAAATCCTTGTGTACAAAGGGGAGCATTAATGCTTTCAGACTTTGATAGATGTGTGCTAGTTTAACACTTTGATGTATCTTTATTTTTTAATTTAATTTTCTTATGTTATGTTATTCACCATGTGGTGCGTCATTAGTTTTTGATGTAGTGATCCACGATTCATTGTTTTCGTATAACACCCAGTGCTCCATGCAGTATGTCCCTCCTTAATACCCATCACTGGGCTAACCCATCCCCCCCCAAAACCCTCACTTTGTTTCCTGGAGTCCATAATCTGTCATGGTTTGTCTCTCCCTCTGATTCCTCCCCCCTTCATTTTTCCCTTCCTTCTCCTAGTGTCCTCCATGCTCTTCCTTATGTTCCACAAATAAGGGAAACCATACGATAATTGACTTTCTCTGCTTGACTTATTTCATTTAGCATAATCTCCACCAGTCCCATCCATGTTGATGTACATGTTGAGTATTCATCCTTTCTGATGGCTGAGTAATATTCCATTGTATATATGGACCATATCTTCTTTATCCATTCATCTGTTGAAGGGCATCTCGGCTCTTTCCACAGTGTGGCTATTGCAGACATTGCTGCTATGAACATTGGGGTGCATATGGCCCTTCTTTTCACTACATCTGTGTCTTTGGGGTAAATACCCAGGAGTGCAATTGCTGGGTCATAGGGTAGCTCTGTTTTTAATTTTCTGAGGCACCTCCACACTGTTTTCTAAAGTGGCTATACCAACTTGCATTCCCACCAACAGTGTAAGAGGGTTCCCCTTTCTCCAGAACCTCGCCAACATTTGTTGTTTCTTGCCTTGTCAATTTTTGCCGTTCTAACTGGCGTAAGGTGGTATCTCAGTGTGGTTTTGATTTGAATTTCCCTGATGGCTAATGATGATGAACATTTTTTCATGGGCCTGTTAGCCATTTGTATGTCTTCTTTGGAGAAGTGTCTGTTCATGTCTTCTGCCCATTTTTTGACTTGATTATTTGTTTTTTGGGTGTTGAGTTTGAGAAGTTCTTTATAGATCTTGGATACCAGCCCTTTATCTGTAGTGTCATTTGCAAATATCTTCTCCCATTCTGTGGGTTGCCTCTGTTTTGTTGACTGATTCCTTTGCTGTGCGGAAGTTTTTATCTTTTTTTTTTTAAAGATTTTATTTATTCATTTGACAGAGACAGCGAGAGAGGGAACACTAGCAGGGGAGTGGGAGAGGGAGAAGCAGGCTTCCCGCTGAGCAGGGAGCCCAATGTGGGGCTCAATCCCAGGACCCTGGGATCATGACCTGAGCTGAAGGCAGACGCTTTAATGACTGAGCCACCAAGGTGCCCCCAGAAGTTTTTATCTTGATGAAGTCCCAAAAGTTCATTTTTGCTTTTGTTTCACTAGCTTCTGGAGATGTATCTTGAAGGAAGTTGCTGTGGCCGATGTCAAAGAGGTTACTGCCTATGTTCTCCTCTAAGGTTTTGATGGATTCCTGTCTCACATTGAGGTCTTTCATCCATTTTGAGTTTATCTTTGTGTGTGGTGTTAGAGAATGATGGAGTTTCATTCTTCTGTGTATACCTGTCCAATTTTCCCAGCACCATTTATTGAAGAGACTGTCTTTTTTCCATTGCATATTTTCTCCTGCTTTGTCGAAGATTATTTGACCATAGAGTTGAGGGTCCATATTTGGGCTCTCTATTCTGTTCCATTGGTCTATATGTCTGTTTTTGTGCCAGTACCATGCTGGCTTGGTGATCACTGCTTTGTAATATACCTTGAAATTGGCAACATGATGCCCCCAGCTTTGTTTTTCTTTTTCAACATTTCCTTGGTGATTCGGGGTCTTTTCTGATTCCATACAAATTTTAGGATTGTTTGTTCCAGCACTTTGAAAAATGTCATTGGAATTTTAATCAGGATGGCATTGAAGGTATAGATTGTTCTGGGTAACATAGACATTTTAACAATGTTTATTCTTCGGATCCATGAGCATGGAATGTTTTCCCATCTTTTTGTGCCTTCTTCAATTTCTTTCATAAGTGTTCTATAGTTCCTAGAGTATAGATCCTTTACCTCTTTGATTAGGTTTATTCTGAGGTATCTTATGGTTTTTGGTGCTATTGTAAATGGAATCGTTTCTCTAATTTATTTCTACAGTTGCATTGTTAGTGTATAAGAAAGCAACTGATTTCTGTGCATTGATTTTGTATCCTGCCACATTACTGAATTGCTGTATGAGTTCTAGTAATTTGGGGGTGGAGTATTAGATTTTCCACATAAAGCATCATGTCATCTGTGAAAAGAGAGAGTTTGACTTCTTCTTTGCCAATTTAAATAACTTTTATTTCTTTTTGTTGTCTGCTGTTGCTAGGACTGCTAGTACTATATTGAACAATAGTGGTGAGAGTGGGCATCCTTGACATGTTCCTGACCTTAAGGGAAAGGCTCTCAGCTTTTCCCCATTGAGGATGATATTTGCTGTGGGTTTTTCATAGATGGACTTTATGAACTTGAGGAATGTTCCCTCTATCCCTATACTCTGAAGAGTTTTAATCAGGAAAAGATGCTGTATTTTGTCAAATGCTTTTTCTGCCTCAATTGAGAGGACCATATGGTTCTTCTCTCTCCTCTTATTAATGTGTTCTATCACATTGATTGATTTGCGAATGT